CCAATCCTGCTGATTACAGCCAATTATTCTAAGAAGGTTATGATTTTCCTTTTTTGCCCATGGAAACTTTAGTACTAATGATGAAGTGCACGAAGAAATACTACGATGTTACTCCAACCTAATAGATGCTCTCTTTATATAAGATTATAGAAATATGTCAGATCACTTGTTATGTGATAGTGGGCATTGGACAATGCACTGGCAACTCTTTTTATCTTTAATGGATCAATTACGTTTGCTGTCAATCCCGCAATTACCCGCACATCTCATCTTTACTCTTTGCAACTCAGATTAGCATGCAAATCAAAATCAGAGATGAAGAAAGACGAAGGAGATTAAGAAGATTTGGACAAAGAACACTCAGATTTTAAGTGGTTCGGCAGATCACCTACATCCACTGTACGAATCAGCCAAGGTATTTTCTCATTGATTCCAGAAGAAGATTACAATATTAGAATACATTCCTTTTGAAGTATCGTGAGTGACTAACTCCCTCCATCCTCTGAAAACTACATTGCAGATGGAAATGTGTAACTAACTTATTTTAGTCGTCGGTAAATGCAGCTGAACTTTTATTTTCTGATTTGGCTAAGTAATTAGCTTATGTATTTAGTCAACATATAACATTATCGTCGGTAAATGCAGCTGAACTTTTATTTTCTGAACTTGTGGTGTTCATTTCAAGAAGGCTACAGTCCTATGGCTCTTCCCTGATGATATTTGTAAACATCCCGGTGAAATTTTGGGAGTCTATAAATTTTATCGCTCCTCTTTAGAATTCTTCATTTTGAAGAAATCTACAATTGCACCTCTTCATCTATTTCCTTCATTGGAGTTGAAGGTTTCATTTTCATCAATGAAATGGTCCTTTCTAATCAAAGAAAAAATGAAAAAAGCACAGATGTAAAATTTGCAACAAAAACATACTATTTTTAGCGAGGGCCTGAGGGATGGGTAAAAATGATAATTTCCCTTTATTTTCAGGCCTCCTCCCACCCCATCGCCGATTTCCGGCTTATCCGCTCTTTGTTTTCTACTCCACTCTCCTCCGTACTCCTAGTAAAATCGAAACCAACAAGTGTCGATATCTGACAGTGGGTGGTTTCCTTTCCTACGAGTGCTTAATGATCATTTATTCCGATGCTATTCATGAAAACTTATTCTAAATTTTCGCCGAGAAATCAGTGACAATAGCAAGCAGGCGTTCATAGATAAGCTAAAGAAAAAGCAGCGATAAGCCCGCAAGGAGTTGCAAATAGAAAATACAAACCTGATCCTTCTCATCCTCAGCAGAAGCTGTGGAAATCGAAGCGGCGACCGAGGCACCGGCAGAGCGGACCGTGGAAGCGACGGTGCTCGCGTTAGTAGACATCGTCTTCAGGCACGACGAGATAATTTTCAGAGAATTAGGCAAAAGCCCGAGGTTCCTGCCCTTTCCCTTCTTCATTCTCTACCCCGGAAATCCTAGCACTGCAGCAGCAAACACTACGTCCACACCACCATCGCGGCCATCAGAAGCAGCAGTTTCACCACCTTCCTCCTCCGCTTCCAAACCCGTCTCCAATTCCACCGCCGACGAACATCTCCGATCGCCGCCGACGATCGGATATCTCATTCGAAAAGAAAACTGCAGAACGATTGAAGAAACGCAAAGAAATTCAACTGATATGAACACTACAGAACTTGGATTTCTCTTCACCGGAAGTTTGACTCGAAAGATCTCCGTTTGTTCTCGGTTTGTGGTTCCTCAATGTTCATCGCAATCGCAATTATAGCTTCAAAATGCGATCGCTTTCGTTTCTGTCGCTTTCATGACTCTCTCTGGTTTCTCCCTCCGAATTTCTGCGTGTCGACCTGTTTCGCTCCGCATGTTTTGGGGGTAAAAGTTAATTTCTCAATTGTTTGGGGACTACAGTTCAAACTTTTCAAATTTGAGGACTATTTTGCAAAAAATATTTAGAATAAATTACCATTTTTAGTCTCTATGGTCATGGTCTGTGAGTGGTTTCGATTTTGTTTATTTCAAAAGCTTTAATTTACTGCTACTTTTACCATATTTTTAGTTGAATAATAGAAGTTGAGAAATATCACAACATCGACTTTTTAAAATAAGATAATAATAGATTTCTTCTATAAGTATCTTGTTTTATTATCTAATTCCTAAATATATTTACATAATCTAAGTCAACATGAATATACTTCAGTGGTAATTGACATGTATTCTTTCTCGAGATTGAAAGTTCGTTCTCCATATCCCCAAATTATTGTATTAAAAAAAAAAACTCAAACATTGAAGACTAAATATTTTTTGAAATCTAGCTAAAATTAAAATGTATTTTTGTAAAAACAAACTAAAATAACTAAAGAGACTAAGAGAAAGCAAACATAATTTTTAAAAATTGTAAACTAATAACAAAATGGTTATCTAAGAAGCACTTAATCAACAACATTTTAATAAATTTAACTTTAGGTTAAAAAATTTTAAAAATATAAGTATCAAAACGAGGTTTAGCATAAACTATTATGTCTCATGTTTGGGGTTAAAAGTAAAATTTACATTTGTTTAGGGTCTTAGAGTTCAAACCTTTTAGCAGGACTACTTTGCAAAATGGTTAATATGCAATATATTTTTCATTTATTTTTTCTGTAATGATTGTCGAAGCATTTCCTTTCAACAAATAATCAACACTTTTCAAACTTGCTCGATATATTTTTACAAACGTGAAACTGTGAAAGCAGGAACGTCAAATAAAACCAAGGAATATATTTTAACGAATATATTTTATGTTTTATTCCATAATCTTTTTTCGATTTAGTCATTATCGTCAGAAGAGTTTCAATTTAGTCTTCTATATTTTAATATTTTTTAATTTAATCTCTCGTCATTAGTGAATGTTAAAATTGATTAATTTCTATGACAAATTTTAACATTTACTAATGATGAGGGATCAAAGTGAAAAATGTTAAAACATAGAGACTAAATTGATTTTTTTTTTTAACGACAGGACTAAATTAAAAAAAAACACCCAGAACATTGAAAAATAAAACATATATTTAGTTTATATTTTTACATAACCATTTGATTAATATATTTTTGGAACAATCAATAACATAAATTGTTCATAAAATGAATTCTTATACATTATGAAAAAACGCACCTTCGGATGAAAAAAATTATTGGTGAGCTATGTTCATGTTTAATTTATATTTATGTTATCGTGCTTAAATTTTTGCAATCTAAGTATTATTTATTTCCTCGTGATGCACTATTTGACTGAGTAATTATCATTATCTTACCAAAAAGTCTATTTTAATCTGGAAACGTAGACATATTTAAGCAACACGTGAAATTATATGCTTTAAATAATTAATTTCTGTTGACATTTGTAAGAGAAATCTTAAAATTTGGTTTAGGTCCATTTTATAAATATTCCGTTGTTTATTTTTTGTTTTAAAAATTATGCTTGATTTATACCTCACCTTCTTTAAAATAAATTATTAAAAACTTTTTTTTAGTATATGATTAATGTACATTTGATAGGGTTATAGTGTAAGCTCTTGAVTAGTGTAAATATTTTTGTTCCCCCATTCAGTAGTACCTTTCATATTATCAATAAAATATTTGTTTCTTACAAAAATAAAATAAAAAATACATAGCCAGTAAAAAGAGAGATTGATATATTCAAAATTTCGAGACGAGACAAATAACTGCTCTCTTTGGTTCGAGAAATCAAAATAAAAGGATCGAACCAGAATCTATAGCGATGAAATTGGTATCCTCATCCATTTTACATCAAAACAACAAACTAAGCCTCCAGCTTAAACTCTCGACAATTTCAATTTAGCTATCTCTTAATTTTAGCAATTATTGTAACAACACTAAATTCACTATGTCACTTACACACTAACCATGAATTTGGTGACTCAAACAGTCTCTATTGTGAGGCTTATACAATCAATCTACTTCCTTCAACTGATGATCATCTTCTTGAAAAATTCAGCTTGATCAGGAAAATACTCCATCACTTCATCCTTTGTAACCCATACAAAATCTTCACATTTCCCAATATTGAATTTATTGGTAGCAATCACTTGAGACTTAAAAAAGAATCGCTGGCAAAGAGTAGAGATTTCGTTTAAGTAGACGAGTAAACGAACCCATTATACTATACTTAATACATACATTTGGAGTATACATTCCATAACTAGTTAACTACCAATGCTTGAAACTATTGTATGATGTAAATTTGGTTAAATATATATTTTAGTCCATAATGATGGAGGTTTTTCTCAATCTAGTCCCTATTATTTAAAAAATTTCAAATCAGTCCCTTATGTTAACATTTTTTAATCCTACCCTCTCGTAGTAAATGTTTAAATTGAGTGATGTGATGAGAAACTTATATGCCTAAAAATTAAGAAGAGTAATTAGGCCATCTAAGAGAAGACAACTTCTAATTCCTCCAAATTAAAGAAGTCAGCAGAAATTTGACCTTTTTTATGCTTGGGGCCGAATTGATCATCTAAATTTATGCCAACTCACTATGTAATGTAAGCTTATCATCTACCAATTTTAATACTCACCAATGTCAAGGGTATGGTTGAAAAATGTTAAAACATAAGCAACTAAATTGAAAATTTTCAAACAATAGGGACTAAATAGAAAAAAACACTTAAATATTGGGACCAAAACATATATTTATCCTACAAATTTTTATTAGAAGACATACCTTTAAAGATGGAACTTGTGTAGTTTCTGTAGGTGGTACAACCATATGAGCCATCGGAGCATTTCCGACAAAATATGTATGAGAAAGGTCTCCAAGGATGGACTCTAAGGCAGACTCTGCACACTGCAAAACATCAAAAAGTTAGAAGGGTAATATAGATGAGAAAAAAAATTGAAGAATATTAGTAGCCAGCTCTTACTTTGCGTAGCGTCTCCTCGGTCTCGTAAACTTTTTCTGGAAAGTGCCAGACGGGTTTCTTATCAGGTGCCCCAATAGTGGTACCATAGAGAAGAAGATAGAGTCTTCGGTCAAGTGCTCTCCGCAGTGACCTAAAAGGAAAAAAGACAATTCAAATACTCAGAATTTACACTTTACTTTTGAGCTCATCTGTATTCTGTCAAACTAATGACTTGGATCAGATAGCCTAAAAACTAAGAGAACTTTAAATCAACATTGTTAAAAAAGGAGCATTTTTTTTTTTTTTGTGAAGTAAACAATTTCATTGATGAATGAAATTACAAAAGTGGATCCATAGAAGGGAATTACATCAAGCTATTCCAACTAAACAAAATTGTAGAAAATCTATAGTTGTGAACGAAATTGCCTCTGTATTTTAGGAACAGCATCTAAAAACTCCAATTCTATAATAAGAAAGATGTTAATACAGTAACCAAGGAATATAATTCCAACATTAATTAAATATAAAATGATATCTGGTAACTCTCTAAGGAATCAAATGAATGGGATTTCTCGGGGATTAAACTCATACAGTCATACCGCCCAGTATCAGTGGTCATGAATCAAGCAGAACTGTGGTTTTAAAGTTGTAAGAGTACCGAAGAGAATAGTTGAAAGCATCTAAGATAATAGCATGCTCACGATATGGTATGCATGGCACCAACCAGAGTCGTGTTGTGAGCTATTTGGTTAAAAAAAAATGGTTGTATTGTATGTAAATCTGGACATAATTGCGACAAAAGATTGCAGGAAAGGAAAAAACTTGATGAACTAAAAGAAAGTTCTGTAGTCAAAGAATGGAATAATAATACTTATGGTACTCGAGAGATAGAAGCTGGAGAAACTGAACAAGAAGAGTAAACTAAACAAGGATATCGTCACAACGATGAATATTGTAAACTGTAAAGCATGCACAACAAAAAGAGCACATAGACTGCAATTTTTATTTCCACTAGAAAATTCTGCAGTCAAACAATAGAACAATAACTTCTTTTTTAATGAGAAATTGAGTTTTTCATTGAGAAAAATGAGAAGGCAAAAAACATATACAAGGGCATACAAGGAAAATCAGCCCTATGACAAGAGGCTCAACTAAAGAAAGGGACTACAACAAAATGGATGATCAAGAAGAGTAAACTAAATATGGATATCCTCACGACGAAGAATATTCTAAAGCATGAACAACAAAAGGAGCTCGTAGATTGCAATTTTATTTTCACTGAATAGTGATAGCATTCAAACTATAAATTCTATAATAATAATAATAATAATAATAATAAATAAACCGCATACTTCCTATCATTTGTTTTGTCAGCTTCAGTTATCCGTGGAGCTGGAACATAATCAATTTGGTAGTCACCTTTTCCCCTGTAATCAGTAGCTCAAGTCATACAAATTCCAAAACAAAGGAAAATTGTGCATCTGCATTAATGTAGTGTTTGTGCAATAAGCTCCATAAAATTAGCTAACTGAATATCGATGAAATTGCACCGGACAATCACTAATATTCAGGAAAAATAAATTACAAAGTTGGGCATTCTCCACCTGATAATTATGCAAGTGATCCAAAGAAATAAGAATTTGACCACCTAGAAACTACATTATATTAGGCTCACTACTATAAGGAACTGCTAAGATTCATCACCAAAAAGCTTCAACTTAGCAGCCTCCACAGAAGTCATAACCTTCTATAGTTTTTTGTTTTTTTTGACATCCGTGTGTCCGAGCGAGCTTGCGCGCACTTCGACTGGTTAACAAAGAAACTGGTAGAATATTAACTCTCAGGTAGGTGACCACCATGGTTTGAATCCAATCCCTCTAAGCCCTTTGCTATTTACACCGGCCTTGTTCACCACTACGTCATCCCATGATGGTTCATAATCTTTTATCCTATCCCATAAATAATCAGTCTCTTTAATTACTTCTGGCTACCATGTTATTATTTTAGTTTCACAAGCCACATTGAACTGGTAACCGTACCTAATATTTTTCAGCATTTACATTGGAACACTATTCAGTGATATAGAGCATCGGGATCAGATAAAACTTACTACAATAAAAAGGGAACCTTATAAACCTTACGACTCGTTGTAGTTAGAAACAGGACCAACCTTTCTCAATCAATACCGCAATGTCATCCTTTGGATATTAATTATTTAAATTACATTAGTAGGTAAGTTATCTACCCCACATCTTGTTCTTTACTTTCACAAAATTTCTTGTTCAAAGTTGAACTTACAACTGCTACCCTAGTACCCATGAAAACAATTGTCCGGTATCTTTAAGAATAAATAAGGCAAAATATGATAACTAATATAAAACTGCTAATGATTTAACCGTTGTGGATAATGATGTTTGATAAAATGAAATAATAGATTGAGAGAGGACACTTTCCGGAGCTCAGTGTTCTAAAATTAGCAGAACTAGAAGAGCTGAAAAAGATAAATGAAAAGAGTTCATGAACCAAAATCATATATTGGACACAGTCTCACGAAATGATAAATCATTTATACCTGGCATTAGCTTTATCTAGAAATTCATCAGGATATCTGCGTCGGTATTGCTGTTGCCACCTAAACCTGAGCGCAATCGAGGAGAAATATCAGAAAAGTGTTTTCACAGAGATATGCGAGCTTATAAAAGTTCAATACACCAATCACGTCGTTCGAATTCTAATTTCTGATTCCTTCCCGTTAATAATGTGCTCAAGTCAAGACGCAGTACGAGTTTCCTTCTTTCATTCTTTTCCATTTCCAACATTTCTCAGCGCTTTCCAAATTCTGATTACTCCCATTTCTAATGTGTATCAAGTATCAAGACGCAGTACCATTCTCCTTCGTTCATTCTTTTTTACCATTTTCCAACATTTCCCAGTCCTCAGGAGCCAAAATGAGAATTACAAGAAAACAACTTACTTAAACTCCTGAAATGCATAGACAACGGGATCAATCTTCGGAATCACGACTGGCAGCCTCTCGAACAGTACAGACGCAACAATTTTCTCGGAATTCGTCGAAAACCATCGACTCTTCACAAGCTGGCCGGCTAAATAAAACGATCTCTGCATTCTGAATTTCAGAGAATACACGAATCCATTAGTAATGATGGGGAGAAAACAATGATTCACAAAGCATAGAAGAAATTTGAGAGAGATGATACTAGAACTTGCATTGAAGCTCTAGACATAGCTCGAAACGATCTCGTTGAAGCATTCAGGAGCTACCATTGAAATGGTTTGCACAGAGAAAAAGCGCGAAAAGTTCACCTGAGAACGAGAGGGTGACCGTCGACGGCGAGGGCTGCGCTTTGGCAATCTGCTTCCGTTGTTGTGGTTCTTAACTGGGCCGCCGGAGGTTGCGTAAAATATGGGCCTGGGCTGATTTTGACCATTGGGCCTCTTTCGGAAGTGCCACAAATTTATTATTATTGCTCTTATTATTTTGAAATGGGTAAATGAATAAGATAAGAAAAGGTTAGGTGTTATAGAATTATGATTTTACAAATATAGCAATTTTAAAAAAATTTCGTATATTTACTTTGAAAGTAGAGAAAGATGTCATGTCAGCAAATAGCCAAATATATATAATTAATATATTTTAATGATTCCGTTAAATTTTTTTAAAGAATCACATTTTTTTTTTATATTCGTGAATATTCAGGTCAGACACCTATAGACTACATTTGGTTTCTAACTATGACTTATAGGATATTTATTATATACTATGGTAAAAAAAAAGTAACTGTCATAAAATTTCTTTTGTGGTGGCATGAATTTGGAATTCCAAACTCAAAATATAATCATTACACGTGACTAAGAATGGCCAACTGCACAAACCAAATATTTATATGGTCCGATTGATGACATGGAAATTAAATTATTTGAGTATTATGGAAGACTTTGAATTACAATAAACCTCCACTTCCATTAACAGTTCGTTGTGAGAGCGAGCATAATTCAGCGGTAATTGACATATATCTCCAATCATGAAGTTGTAAGTTGGAATTCCCTCCCCAACAACCAACATGTTATATTAAAAAAAACATATGAGTTCGTTTTTGAACCTATCTAATTTTCCAATAGTTCAAATTTTTGTCGGAAGGAAAATTATTTTTATCATACTTAACTCAATGAGTCAATGTGAACTTCACATTTTTATTTCTATAAAATTGAAATTATTTAGACTTTGGCTATCTACAAGCAGTTATAAAGATAATGAGAAATATTTTTGTGGGTATGGTTCTTTTAGTTATAATGTTATAATGTTTTTTAGTTGAATTTAAACATTTTATCCTCAAGTTTAAGCATTTTTGTGATCAAGCTCACGTATGTTTTCACGATTCAATCTGAACATTTTGTAGCTTGGATTTCAATTGTTTTGTTGGTTAAATTTTGTGTAATTTATTAGTCAATTTATGATTAACATTTTAATTTAGTTTAGATGATGAGATATTAATTTCATAATTATTTAAATTTATTATCCAACCGATAAAGCTTAAAGTTTTAAAATCAACTCAATATATATATTTTCTTTTAGATTTTTTTTAGTTTAGTAACATGAGGAGGTGAAGATTTGTATCTCTGACATTTTTGTCATAGAGATATGACTATTGAGATATTTCACGTTACCTATTTTCTTTTAAAATATAACCTCACAAATATGGGCATGAAAATATGAAGCTATGAAACTTCAATTTATTATAATAAGAGAATTGAATGCTTTAACAAGACCACGACCACATTTGAAACCTCCATTTGGCTAAGGGTATTACCTACCCTCAAACTTATCATAAGTCGACCTTCATACTTAGCCGCAAAACCACGTTTGAAACTTCCATTTGGCTGAAGGTCTCACCTACCCTCAAACTTATGCATCGGCCAACCTTTAGGACAACATGAGCAAACTGTCAGTTGAATATTCTGTTGGATCCCGAACTTATAAATAGAGCGCTCCATTCTCATATTTGGTTATCGTATTCTAGCTCAGTCTCCATATGTAGGTCGAACTTAAACTTACCTGAACATCGGAGTGTTTGCTTGTGATCTTGTATAGGTTTCTCCTCATTCAAGTGACACTCAAGCTTGTTTCGATCCCTGTTGTTGACCGATTTTGATCTTTGACCGATTTCATTACACAAACAATGACATTAAATGATTATTTTATTTGTAGTTGTATACCTAATATATCATTTGAAGAAAAATAGACTTTTGAGTTTCATATATCAATTAGTATGTATGTGTACGTGTCAAACTAAACCAATACTTAATGATATATTAGTTTATTGTTAATAAATTTTATACAGAAGGACCCAATTAGAAATTTTTAATATATTAAAGATAATCTATGAATTTAAAACATTAAGGACGATATTAATAATCAATACCATCTCATGTGTTGTATGTATCAATTTGAGTCATCTAAAATATTATGGTTTGATCTCGTATCTTCATTAAAAAACCTTAATTCATAAATGAATGTATTTAGAAAAATACTGACTATTGTGGAACTCCTATCGGCCGAATTTCAACATCCGAACCTCTTGTGGGTTTCAGACTGGGTGGATCTCCCAAGGGTATTATGAACATCAATACCATATCTGAATTCGAACGTATCGTTTTGAATTTGATGTCGATGGCGTGGCTGTGAACTAAATGCATAATAAACGAAGGAAAATAAATTAGAATTCAACTCTGTATTATCATTAATTAATTAAACAGACTAAACATATTTTAATTAAAATAAACTAAAACTCAGTTCTCTACTACTATTATGATTAGAAGGATAAAAAAGAGAAAAAAAAAGTCGTCGAATTATTATTGTTAATTCATTAAATCAGACTGCACAGATTTTAATTAAAATAAACTAAAACTCAGTTCTCTATTATTATTATTAAAGGAATTAAAAGAAAATAAAAAATCGTCGACAGCAGGGTTCGAACCTGCGCGGGCGAAGCCCAACAGATTTCAAGTCTGTCTCCTTAACCACTCGGACATATCGACTTCGTTGAAACAAAATCAAAATATTTATTTTATATTTTAATTGTTTCCACGTTAGATTTTTTTTTATATTAATATCATAATTTATTCATACATATATTAAGATAAAATTTTGTATTTGCCATTTTGTCGTTGGTTTTAAATCTGGTTTGGTTCCGATTAGATACTTCAACTTTCCTGTTTATTTATTTTTTTAGTACAAATTTCATTTTAGTTTCTGGAGTATTAGATAATTTATTTTAGATTAAAAAACACATTTGGTTCTTGTAATTTTACTAAAGTAACAATTTAGTTACTGAACTTTAACTTGTAACGATTTAGTCCCTATAGTTTAAAATTTGTAACAATTTAGTCTCTATCGTAAAATTTTTTATTAAATTAAGTATCAAATTTTATCATATAACAATTTAATATTTATAATTCATAAATATATTTGGTTCCTCTTTAGTTTATCAATCTATACATACAAAAAACTTAACAAAAAAAAAATTCACGATAAGGACTAAATCATTATCAATTTTAAATTACAAGGACAAAATTATTACATATTAAAGTTGAATTACTAAATTGTTACCAATTTGAAAGTACCGGAACTAAATCGTTACAAACTAAAGTTTAGGGACTAAATTGTTATTTTCAAGGACTAAAAGAATTTTAATTCCAATAACTTTACATAAAAGTTTATTTTATTTATCATCAGTAATTTTATATTACAAAGGTTCAATATTTGTGGGTTCAAATGTTTATTTGTAAGTATGTACGTGTGTGTATATATATATCATTAATATGTCTCTAAGCTTTAACGTCTCTAAGCTTTGAATTTTGTGTTTGTTAATTATAAAATTAAAAATTTAGGTAATAAATTTGAATTATTAAATATTTTTTAAAAGATTGAGTTAAAATCATATTTTGGTCATTATGGTCATTAGTTCTATTTCGATCTTTTGAACCTTTAGAATATTTATTTTAGTCCTAATTTTTAAAAAATACTCATCTCAATTTTACTACATTTATTCAAGTGTTAATAACCAATGACATAACTTTGAATATTTGTGTCAATAAGTTTCTACATATTCTTGAAATTTTCACTTTTATATCCCAAACTTTTTAAAATTAATAAATCTATTAAGTATAAACTGAAATTTATGTCTAAATTTTAAATATTGTTTAATAAATTCATAAAATTAAGAAAAAAAAACACGAACCAAAGATAAAAAGAAATAAAATAGCTAGATTTTAGATGCAAAGGACAAAAATAAATTTAAAAGTTGAGTAACGAAGACTGAAATTTTAACTAAAATGCATTAATTGAAATAACTAAGACCTAACTTTTACGCAAAATTTTGGGAGTTTGAGCACATGAAAACATAGAAAACTAGCGATTCTTGATGCAACTCGCATCAAAATCCGCTCCGCAGGTGGAGATCGGAGATCGTAGCAGAAAGAGAGAATCGTCCGGAGAGATGGCCGGCGCCAGGCCTCCCAGAAAGCCGGTGAAGGTGCGGCCGAATCCCTTTTCTCTTGCTCCGATTTTTTCTGTATATCCTATTTAATTTCCCTTCCGATCGGATTCAGTTTTCTTCCGTTAGAAAGTGTTAAGCGAACAAAGAAATTAATATACTGTATAAACGGTGTATGCTTGAGCCTGGACAGTTAGTTAATTTGCAGTTTAAGGTAGCTCTTTCATCCTTCTTATGGAGTCTTTAGAGTTTACCTTAGTTCGAGCTTATTTCTGATTCTCTTTAATGCTGCCCTCGAATTCTGAAGTTCCGAGTGGGAAACCCTAAGCCCTAAACAGAGAGCTGCTTGTAGCTGGTACACCTTCATTCCAGTCGTATAGGAAGGATTATGGAGGAATATGCGGAGTTGTTCTTTAGAATATTACATCCTAGATAAGGAGATTAGAATATCTTCAAAACCTATTCTTCTGTGCTGAGTTATACCTGGGTTGATAGAATACATCGATTTACAAAACTTGATTAGTTTCTAAGTCCATCACCATGAGAATTAGTGCTCCTTTACATCAATACGCAGCAATTCAAACATAATTTCCAGAGATTCATCAAGTTTGTTCAAACAAGAGGTGGGGTGGGAATTCAAACCTCTTGTGTTTAGAAGAGGTCTAAAATGCCTAAATAGTTGAGCTAAGTTTAGATTGCCTCACGTGTTAAAATATTTGTTTACAATGGGATTGAGGAAGTTATTTTGATATTCAGCTGTTCCAGGAGACTCGATTTTATTCAGTTAGTTTTTTATTACATGCTTTACACAGGGTTTTTCTCTGTTTCATCTTAGAATATATAGTGAATTTTATTGTAGAACCCTTTACTTGCAATAGGAAAACTAAGGTGTGGGCTAAGGTGCTATTGGTTTCTCTTTGCAGTCAAAAAGGCTGCCGGTAGATCTATATGCTGCACAATGTGAGGAATGCTTCAAGTGGAGGTTGATAAGTACCCAAGAGGAGTATGAGGATATTAGAAGTAAACTGATAGAAGAACCCTTTACTTGCAATAGGAAAACTGATACTTCTTGTGAGGACGCGTCCGATATCGACTATGATGCAACTCGAACTTGGGTGATCGACAAACCTAACATCCCAAAGACCCCAGAAGGTTTCAAGAGACGTCTGGTGCTAAGAAAGGATTTCTCTAAATTTGATGCTTACTATATCACACCGACTGGGAAGACGGTGAGATCCTCTACCGAGATGCTATCCTTCATAGAAGCAAATCCAAAATACAAGGATATACCTCTTTCAAAGTTCAGTTTTGCAGTCCCAAAAGTAATGGAAGAAACTGTACCTGAAAGCATCTTAAGAGAGGATTTAAGTAGCAGTAGTGCCAAAAGAATTAAAAAGGTTAAGGATAAATCTGCCCATACTGACTGAAGATCAGACACGGCTCCTTGCAGTATTCAAGTTTCTGTACTTTGGAAAACCAATTGATGAAGGATTATGCTGCTGTTAATCTGAACTCTTGTGGATGGTTCTATTTTGCCTTAAGATGTAGGGTGATAATTCTTCTATTGTACCATCTTTTTGTTCACTACTAAGAACAATTGTAAAATATATGTATCATATGGCCATAGTTTTTAAGACATGAGAAGACCCTTTGATTTAGGGTGAGTTTGGTATTATTTTTAGGTGTTGAAAAGTATTGTACTTTATAAAATTTTCAGTGTTCAATTAGATAATTAAAAGTGGTTTAAAAAATTTTAACACCAGTTAAAATGTTTAGTTAGTACTTCTTCTAAAAGCACTTATTTCGAGAGTCATTTCAGACTTAAATTTAATGTTAAGGATTCTTCTGTACCCATTACTGAGTGTTTTGCATCTATCTGTAGAACCTATTTTCATATGAACTTGTGTTCTTGCATTTAAGCTTGCAGATATTGATATGAGAACGCAAGAGAGATCTCCATTAGATTCTCGGGTTGTTTAACACGATATTGATTCCAAATTGAACTGTTATAATATGATGTTATCAAGCAGTTTTCGATTCTCTAATCTTCATCCAAATGCTAATGGAACTGAACAAGGTTGAATCAGACTGAATTGGAGCAACCATTTCTCAGCCCTCCTGCAACTAAAGGATCTATAAATCAAACACAAGGCATGAAAGAAGTTGCTGATAAATGATTAACTTCAGATAGAAAATTTTCCGTACTACCAATGAAAATTAATGATAGGAGTAGATTCTATGATAGAATTTTTCCTAGTAAATATACATAGAGTGGTCAATTTGCAGAATGAGATGCCTTTTTAACAATCTTGATAAACCCGTTAAGAATTAATCAAAAGAGGTCGATTTCGATTATGACGTAAGTTGGATGAACAATCCCCACTAGTTCCTTACCATGTATAAAAGAGGCAATGACTATAGAGAACATAATTCATGAAATATGCATCAAATTAGAGAAACTGGCTCTTTTAGTTGGGTAAATTCAACATATAAACTACATAAAAGAAAAAGTGAAAAATCCCTCTACGGCTGCATTTACTTGTAGAATTAATAGAAAGCCAAAGCCTGATCCCTCTATTTTTTAAGCTAAAAAACTTCTGCTTTAGAATAACCAGAAACAGAGCTGTCATCTATAAATATCAAAGTTCTTGAACAATCCACAGTTCATTTCCTTTTTCTTGGTAGCAACAGATCCTACAAAAACATTAGCAAGTTCTAGAGAACACGATCACGAGGTTGGCTTTCGCTATAACTGGTGTTAGTCGTATTTGTATGTAGCCTCTGCGATAATGACGATCTAGGTGTCTGGCAACTTAAAGTTTGCAGTCTAATCTATTTTTGTGTATTCAAGAAGCATGTGAGGGGACCTGTAGATTTTCACAAGTGTCCAGTATAAGACTTCTTCAACTCCAAGCTCTCCCTCAGCTCTTGCAGCATATATGTCTTCACAAATAGCAATCAACCTATAAAACAAGATTACAACTCAGAAGTAATTCATATAAGACTTCCAAGAAGTTAAAGTAAAGAACACTACACAATTTTAGCCTTGATGTCTATAGTGTTTGAGCTTTCTAATTCTTTTGAAGTTCTAGTTTTCTTCGTATTGGTTTTTCTAGATCAAGTCCCTGCCAACCCCCAAGGACAGCTCTATTGGCAAGGGCATCGGGTCTTGTGGTATCACCTACCACGAGGTCTTGTTTTCCAACCTTCTAGTGAGCTTAATACTGAAAACCCTTATAGTCTCTCGAGTTCAGGCCTTGGAGCAGGTGCGGGTTTCCATCGTTATAGAGAAAAAAAGCTAAATAGCTTCAATTCCAAGTCATTCGGGAAAAAAAAAGATAAAGTCTCTGTCGTTGCATAATATTGAAATTCATTGACAAAATGATGATGGTGCATTAAATATATTTTATATTGGTTGGGTTGGAAATACCCTCTATTTTGATTTTTTGAGGAAGTGATGTGCTTAACAATAAAATTGAAAACCTACCAACTTCACATGACAAACTACATTCGTAGTAAATTACTCCAATTGAAATGACTTTTATAGTAGAAAATAGACCCATAAAAAATGTTACATTGACAACCACATTATATATATTATATATCTCCAAACTTTTAAAACACTAAATATGAAACTAAAAAAGGACAAACTTGTGGGACTAAATTATATATTTAGCCTTCTATTTTACGGAAGGTAGAGATTATTCATTTCTATATAAAAACTTTTGTAGCAACTCATCGCCATGAAATATCCTAAAACGCACTAAAACTTACTTCAGGGGTTATAATATTTGTCAATCAAAACTATCGTAAAAGTAGAGAAAAGACTGCAAAAATGAATTTTGTTACATTACCTGTCACAAGAAGGAAGATTCTCATAGGGAATCCTCATTCTCAAGTCAGAGCATTGAAGTCTTATAAAACGGCCAACTGCTAGAACAAAGGTTATGTAAAGACCCCAGATGCTGAACTTGCTGAGAGTGTCCCCCAGAATGCCCTCTGAAAAGAGATGTTATGGTTAGTAATAAGATTTCAAAACTTTGTTCTCATTAATCAACTTTATCATATGATTTCGGACTTACGGGGTGGTATTTCCTCAGAGATTACAAAGGCCACTGGTCCGGTGAAACTCCCACACTCGCTGATGTTTATCGGCTGGATGTCATGGAAGGACCACCACTTGTAATTTGCACGGTTCAAGATGAGATCAGCAGTGACATAACTGTCCTGTAAATGATCGTTGGACCCGTTGTTTGAATAAAATCTCACACAAAGCATAGATCAGTAAATTGCACTATGAGTTCTCATTCTTCTCTCTATTCGATTCACGATTTTCCAAAGATGCAATTTAGCCTTTGAGTTTTGTCAAAGTCCTGTATTTAGTCCCCAAGTTTTTTAGTGTACAGTTTAGCCCCTAAGTTTTCCGCGTTGCAAAATAGTTTCATTTAGTTCCAGCCATTACTTTTCCTTTAGCTATAAGAATGAATAACCAACTGAACGTTTTTTTTTAATTAATTATGATGCTGACATGGTGTAAAAATATTGAATCATTTTTAAAAAAATCAAATCAACTACATGTTATATAGCTAGAGGAAAAATAACAAAGGGACTGAATAGAACTATTTCACAAAACAAAATTGCACGTTTTGAAAATTCATAGGCTAAAAGTGTAATTTATTTGGTTGTTATGCATGGTAAAGAATCTCATTGACAAAATTATTAGCTAGTGGCTGTAGGGAGTACCTCTTGTTCCATAGGTCTAACATCACCGGAGCCCGTAACCCGGAAGTATCTCTGATAAACATTTTTTATCCGAAAGCTGTTCCTTGAGCCATTAAGAACTTTCTGGACATCTGATTGCTCGGGGAGATCCGGAGCTTCAACGGTTCGGTCATATCGTACAACTTCCTTCCCTTTCGGTCTCTCCCTGGTGAGTACCCAAGTGAAATCGATGCTTATATCTTGTTTCCAGTCAAGGGAATGAATGAACCTGGACTGAACCACACCGGGGACAAGCCACAGGACACTGGCATCAGCTTGACAACAGATTAACTGAATATCATTCTTGTTATATGGACTCAAATACCCTCCAGGATCAAGAACCATATTTGAATTCAACTTGTCCCATGAGATTTTTTCACATAGAGTGGTTTGGTAGAGTGTTAATCTTCCTGAACTTGTCTTGATATCCACTTGGCAACTGGCATCTTTGATTGGGTTTGCAACATTTGTTGGGTTGCCACTACTATACATCTGTAACAAAAAAAATAGTTTCAATTTTTAGCACCATTCACTATTATTTTGGCAAGTGAGGACTTTTTTGTGGAAACATACAGGTGCTGATGCAGAAGTATTCGGTGTTTTGAAATACCCGCCAGCGCCAAGCAGGCTTTTCTAGGGCGAGGTTTCTCTTTCCTAAAGAGAGTGTGGAATATCCTTCTTTTCTCTGATTAATCTCTTATGTGTTCTAGTTTCTTTAAGTTTTTCATTATCTTATTATTCACGGGGCTATATTTTTATAGAATCGTATTAGTACGCAAGAAGATGATAGGAACCAAATAGCTCAAATAGATTGAAAGATAAAAGGATAAAAAGATTGCACAAGGGGCACGTAAAAAGACAGTCCAAACAAGAGGAGCCAATCTAGACAAAGGAGCTCCAATCTAACAAAATAAAGCCTAACGGATCATTACAAAAATCTATAACTACCAAGGCCCAAAGAGAAACATGAAATCTAATGATAACCAGTATATCGAGGTCCACTCCTTCCACCCATCATATTCACAAGGTCCTAATATATATATATATATATATTTTTTTTTTTTCTCTCTTTTTTCTTTTGAGGGGAAACATGAATTTCGTTGATGAATTTGGGTCCTGAAAAATTTATAAATATCACTGGATAGCAATTTGGGCAGACAAAAATTTATGCTCTGAAGTTCCTTACCAGCATTGGAGTCCAGATAACACAGATTAATATGAAGAACAGGCATATTCCGTTGCAACATTTGGTCATTACAGTTTGCTTCTCTCCCTGTTTGTGCTGAGATCTATTTAATACTGCATCACATTTGACAAGGTACAAACTTGCATTTATGTCCTCCAGCTGAGAGATAAAAATAATCCATATATTAATTTTAACTCTGACATTTCAGAGCACAGAGTGTGGTAAGAAAATATACGAGAAAACATAAAACTATCTCGAGGATACATCTAACTGGTTAAATTTCAATGAGAACGACATATCATGAATTGTAGAACCTTTGTTTCACATAAATTACCGCAGCCTTCATAGAAAACTTATGATTATGCTCACTTGAAACTTAATTGTAGTAGAAATATTCCTGTATAACCTATAAGATTAAGAACTCTACAAGGGAAAATTACATTCTTTTGGTTAAATGATATGTTTCGAACAATGGGATACTTACCTTTAGCCAGTCGTACATGGTCAGAGATGTTGTTGTGCATGACCAGTCGAGCACACATCGCAATTCATACAAGAAGGGAAGAGCCCGGTAAAGCCTGTACCCTAAATAGTTGATTCTTGAAACTTCGCTTGTCAAAAATTGCCGATACAATGTGCTTTTGTGTGGGAGACCGTATCGAATTTGTATAGCCTGCAGTGCTAAAGATACTGCCTTTGCAAGAAATATAGCACGGAGTGCCAACTCTCCTGTCTGCTGATTGGAAGGCTCCATTTGCCATGCATACTTCGTTACCGCATAAGTAAAGAGAACGAGGTTGAAAAGGTAAAAGATCACTTTACCAGTGGCAAACGAGCAAAGGTATATACATCGATCGAGCACAATCAAGAAGAATATTATCTGCAGGCACAGAGAATGTTTAGTTAAGAGTAGGCAAATGATATGTCCAAGCTAAGTGGCTGTTGTAAAACTTTAAATTTTGAGTTCAGAAAAGTATTACATGTAATTTGRCAATTTCATGCACAAATGGTGTAGTAATTTAATTACGCTGCTTGGGAAAATAACTCTGCAAGTGACTTCAAGTATAGATCTTCTAACTATAAACCCATTATGGTGCAGATCATGCAATAATTGATCTAGTAGAACAATGTGTTAAAAAAGAAGTTAGAACTGTTACTGATCACATGGATGCAAATCTCAGCAGGACTTCAATCATCAAAGCAACCCAGCAACATTCCACCAGTAAGCTTATTGCATGCTTAGAATATACATACTAACTACCAGATAAGGGGAGCTTATACATTAAATTATGTATCTTCAAATGAACAAAATTCTGGAACCGTCTTCGAACTACCGATTTCACTAATGCTTATGTAGCACTATTGTTATTCTTTTTAATATCAGTTCACGCCAGTTTACACACACCAATCTCACAAGACATTTGATTACAAAGACATCATCGTAAGATTTTATATCTAACATATATATTAGTATATTTTATATTCTTGTATTAATATTAATTTGTCATTTACCTTCTCCTTATAGGATTAAGTCAACCTTGTATATTTGTCTATATATATAGACTTTAATAATGAGAATAAATTACATTGGATTCTCTCCAACCTTAGTCTCTACAATATCATAGGTAGGTGATCACTATGGTTTGAACCTTTACTCTATTGATTATGCAGCCTTGCATTTTTGTGCACAAACAGATACTCCCCTATTTTTCTTTTTCTTTGATGAAAAATGTACATGTGCATGAAATATTCTTATTAGTCCCTTTGGTAATTTCTCCACTAATGGCTAATAGAAAGCTAACATGGCACCGTGTGCATAGCATAAAAATTCTTAATGAATCCAGATCAAAAGGATAACTCTCTTCCTTCAATTTTCAATCCATAAATCAATAAGGGAGAATCCAAAAGTAATAAAATTTCAATCACATAGAATTGTGTGTACTAGTTAGACACTTACCATCAACATGAACACAAACTCTTTTGGGAACTGATCTTCTAGTTGATAAACATCGAGAAACTCACTATTGTTTTTTATGACAGATTGATAAAAAATTGCAACAAAGAAGAACACCGTCAAATCTGCACCGAATACGTAAGCATATAGATCAATTTCCCTTTTGCCTCCCCCTATCACAGAGAATATTTGATATGGGAATCCTGTGTTTTCAACCAACCCATTGCGTTGTGCGAGACGAATCTCATTTGCTACATCGGCTGCCGGAGTGAGAGAGTCATGCCATTCTGCACAAGAATCACTTGAAGGAGAAGAATATACCACCTCTAAAACAACTAAGGCCACCTGGGAGTTCTCTTTACTTCTTTCAATGCTCTGAACATGAACTCTACTGGGAAAAGGACAAAGTCGAGGGTTCTGTACCTTACACCTATCTTTATGGATAATTTGAAGCAACTGATTTATTCCAGACTCAATCCTCTCTGGCTGAATCCCATCTTCTGGCCATACTTGGACATCCATAGACACCTGGATAAAGTAAGGTGGAGATTCCGCTCCTCGAGTCAGTGATTTCCAGTACTTGCACAAACTCCTGAGTAAAAACATCATCATATTTCTCCCAAGATATAGAAGTTCATATGCCCTCTCGGTCAAGCCATAATGTGCAGGACTGTGTTTTCTTGGGAGAGCACTTTTATTGAGGGCATTAGAAGATGTCCACTCACCATCTTTTGCAGTTATAGAACTTTGCAAGAGAGTAAATAAGTAAACTAGAAACAGGGGCAATGAACTGACAACAAAGGATGAAGTAATTCTATGTGTAGGAAATCCCAGTTCTTGTAGTACATCCAAATTAATAGTCAAACCACAGTGCTGGATGATTATCTGGTACAGATACTGTAGCAAAATGTACAACTCTGTGTAAATTAGCATGACAACCCAAAACATATAACCAGGACCAGTATTTACACATAGGGCATAGACGAAAAGAGCTGCGAGATAAACCATGGAAAGTAAACTGAAGTTCCACAAAAAGACAAGGATAAAACAACAGTAACAAACAACATCATTGTTGGACCGCATTTGGGACCATATGTGGCGAAATATCCTTCCTAGCTGCATACTTGCAGGGTCAGAACTCTTATCAGACTGCAGCGAGGAAGAACGCTCCAAATCTGAATACTTAGTTTCCTGGCTCTCTATCTGATCATATACTCTGTCCTCGGTATTGGTATGTTCATTCATGTCATCATCTAGTGTGACATTCAAGAAGCTTGCAAGATTGCTAACAGCTTGATTTCCAATAGACTGTACCTGGGAAACACCATCACCTATAAACTGTACAGCAGACTTTAATGGGTTTCCTTTTGCTGAATCTCTATGTTTTCTTTTTCTATCCAAATCTAAAGATACATCTGAAATCTGAGAATCAACTTCACAAATTTCTGGAACTGGTAATTCCATTGAATGTGTTCTTGACTCTGTCGTTATTTCTGTTCTCAAATTAGCAAAAGATTCCTGCAATTCAGGATGGGGAGAAGAATCTTGTCTAACTATCTGCTCTACTTTCCCAAGTGTTCCTTCGATATCAGTGGTCATCGTGTCATCATGTGTCCTAGAAGTTCGCTTTCTACGTGATTCATCTCCTGGAGACGCATTATTGGCATCAACAAATGAGTTCATGTTGTGAAGCTGGATTTGCAAATTGAGCATCTCTGATTTCATCTTCTCCACTTGCAAGTTGCGCTGCCGTTTACTTTCCTCAGAATCGCGGATATGTTGTAACTGTGAAGTTTTCCATGCAGCTTTTTTTTCCTGCTCATGGACAATGGCGCCAATTTGCTCAGCTTCAAGATACCGACACACATACTCAAACTCTTGAGAGGAGAACATGTATGATTGGAGTGAGACCAACATGAAGATAATAATTTCAACAAGAGCAGATCTTGCAGTGATTCGAAATCCATAATCATACTTGTAAAATCCAATCATCTCAAATATGTAATGCATGGTTTCACACTTGCCAGCACTCACTTCTCCAACAAGTGGAGATTGGTAGGCTAGAGAAAGAATAATAAGAGCAAAGTTGTATGCACGCAAGAACTTGAATAATTTGTTCTTCTTCTTCAGGATTTCAAGTCTTAACCTAAAGAAAACCAGTGCGAAGGCAAGATAACCAAGATGCAGTACATCATATTCAAGAGTTCCAGTAATCAAAATTAAAGCCAGGACAAGATCCAACAAATGACAATAGCAATAAAGCCTAAGATAGTCGATGATGGTCCACATGCTTTTTGTTTCAAAAGATAGATCCCTCCAAACAAATGTATTTTTCCGTTGGGACATCATTTTACGGTAAGTAGATGATAGTGAGAAACCAGACAAATGATCAGCACGGAGTTTGAGAGATGAAAGCATGAACACCATAAAATAACTGAAAAGCATCCTTGAATCATCGACTGTCAGTCCTGAAAAACAGGTAACGTAGACATTACATGTCAACATGAAAGGATAAATTACATCTTGAGAAAAGCTCCAAGATAAATAATATCATTGCATAATTGCAGCCAATATTTTCAGTATGCTGATGACCCGATACAGGTAGTAGACTAGCACAAGGAAAGCAAAACTAATTGTCATAAATTAAGCATATTCTGCAGCCACAATATTCTCTCAAAAACCTTAAAATTTTTAAACGATAAAGAACTGAGTATTAGTTTGTACTAAAGGGTTTAATCGCTTCCTTCCATACGAAAAACAAATTTTCTACAGCTTAGGTCTTGAAAAGCATAAAAGTATCTCCTCTTCTCACTAATTTGAGTTTATTTCTTGTTTAGAAATTATAAAAAAAGTTTCACTCACTACAGAACTTTTTCTTCTAAGAACAAAAACTAATATAATCAGGCAAGTTGGAAGATATCTTGTTGCTAAATAGTGAACTGCGAATGAGAAAAACGAACAGCTAAAAGATTTATACCCAGCCAACAGTTCAAACAAAATCGGAAATATAGATTAGAGAATCTCCAGCAGTCATGACAATGAACACCAGCCTTGCTTAGCATATGCCAATTTGAATTCCACATATTCTTCCAGAAGGCAATATATTCGAGGATAAGAATGGAAGCAAACAAGAAGACAAATATAGGCCATAGTTTACGTATGATGCCACGATCCAAAAGAATACAAGCAGCCAACAATCCAACGTAAAAAATGGAGACAGAATTTAATAAAGCAAAACTGGCAAGAAGCAACGAGATCATAGTTATCTCGAGACCAAAAAGATTGAACAGGTTCTCCATCCAAAATTTCATATATATCTTGAAAATAATTTTCTGCATTTCAAATCTTTCCTTTCTCAAGGACATAATTCGCATCTTATCCCACTTGTGACTTTCCTTGGTACTTCCCCATATAAATCCAAATGAATATTTCTTGCTGCTGCTACACTCAGAGTTGTCTCTTTTACTGGATGCAGAATGAGGCACTTGAGACCGACCAGAGGCAAAGGATGACCTTGAAATATGATCCGATCCTTCCGGATGTAAAAACAATCTTCCAGAATTTAATGATGGTCTTCGCTCATTAGAAATGGATATGTCATAATAGTCATTTTCCTCCGAGACGAATAGTGGACAAGGGTCATCCCACTTCCCTTTATTTAAAACAGAACTTGGCATCCTCTCCAACCAACGAAAGACATTATATTGGAGAGTGCATGCAGCAATTATTAATACTTTTCCCCTTAAGCCTAATTCCAAACCCCAAAAACCAGGCTCAAATACACGTAAACCCAGAAATCGAGACAAATGATAATGCTTTTGTCCAGGAAACATTCCAGCTTGTTTACCCCACATCTGGAAAAGATATTCAGCTGTCAAGACAACTCCTGTATATGCCAGAAACAACTTTGATGGGATATGCGACATCTTGGGTAAAGTGGCACATACAACGACAAGGCCAAGTAGATATAATAATCCAAATGCGCTGATCGGAGATATGGATGCATAGAAAAGAGCAGCAAATAAAATTTTGTCACAGTGCCAAATCAGGAAACGTTTTATAAACCCAAATCTCCCATATTCTAATAGCTCAGGCTCGTCGGAGCTACTATACCTGCTCTGCCTTCTCTCATAGCTATAAAGTTGCATCACAATCAACACAGCCAAAGATTGCCAACAATTATGTAAAGATGATGCCTCTGAGTTGTAACCCAAATAAAAATAAAGATCAATTGATCTGGATAACCATATCCTAAAGCTGGGGAAACTGCTTAGGCAATATATGAAGACAAAAACTGTAATCGCATAGGCTTTTAATGGGAACCATAGTTGCCTCTTTGTTCTTCCAACTAGCTGTCGTCCAATCATCCAAACAAGAAGAAGGAATAAGAAACCGAAGGATATATAATTGGGCTTGACAAAGAAAACTGTGAGAAGAATGGTCAGAAATGCAATATAGGTTCCACATGATCTATACATAGATAGGAACTTCTCTCCAATGGAACTGAGGAATGATGCAATCTTTCTCTCTGCAGAGAAACAAAATAAATGAGTGATAATAAATGAGGCAATAGCAAATGGAAACAGAGCTGAAGAAGCAGCAAAAGTGGTGATTCAAATGATAACACAAAACATACAAACAAAATTATTTTGCAGCTCCTATAAACAAGATGATTGCTAATTCACATCAGTTTGGAACAAAGGTTGCATCTAAACTGATAAAGAGAGCATATTTCCAGGAATACAAGGAGCTGGATATTAGGCCTTGACTCGCCCTCTATGGACAAACCTTGCGGAGAAACCCTTAGGTTTCGAGGCATTGGAAACCTAAAAGAAAATAGTATACTCCAGCAATCAAATGCACAGACACGTCTCAGCAAAATAATGTTGCCAAGAGAAAGATCAAGATCAATCTGAGGTTGCTAAAGTGTTATGTCTCGGACTGAATTTTTATAGTAAATTTTGGGTGGAAGCAATTATTTGTCGCTCTTATAAACAGACAGTTACTTGAATTTAAGCTACATATTCCCCTGCATGATCTTAGAAAAACTTTTTCCTAGATAAAGCTGTTCACATCCCTTCTGCTTAAAGTTTTTGGATCTTGACCTTTTTGCATGTCCATAATCATCAAAGGAATTAGAACTGAAGGCCTTAAGGCTTGTTTCTCTTAGGTTGTTTACCTACATACAACAGGTAAACTTCAAGGAAGTTCCTGGTCATGTTACTTTTCAAGAGTCTAAACCTTATTTTCCCAATTGACCTTGGGGAATATCAACTCTAGGATAAGCTGCCATGGCTAGATAATCAATGCATCACTTCAATTCAAACTGAAATTCCCAAACCAATAATCCAGTTTGCCATCCAACTAACCTAGCTAATTAAATCTCATTGGTAAGTTGTTGAATATAAGAAATCAAATAGAAGAATCAATGTAATTGACAATAAGTTTCAAATAGTCATACCATGAGAAGAATTATCATGGCCGTAATGATTTTTTGTGCTTGTATAAACTGATAGCAGAACTGATTTATTAAGACCAGCTCGCAAAATGCTAAATCCAACTGGGGGGCAGGGTGTGTGCTGGACAATTGCGGAAAATGAAAATAGCATTTCAAAACCATGGTTATGAATTGAACAAAAGCAAGCAAGGAGAGCTATTTCCAGGAAGTCCCACATGCTATCACGTCCAAGAAGGCCTGCATCAAATTACTGAAAAAATGTCACTGAAACCAGTTTCATTGTCATAAATTATTCCTTCAACATTATCTTTCGACAAAAGTTCGAGGTAACCAGAAGTGATAAAATGCAATAACCAAATCTTCTAACAGAACATCAATTTATAAAATTATAACATAATATCGTAGGAAGAAAAAGGCACGCGTACCTAGTTGCAACAGAATTTCCCTACAAAAAGAACCTTCTCGATCTAACACATCAGATATCAGGTTGATCTGAAGAAGGTATAATAATGAAAAATGAACCTCATTTAGAAGAATCAAAGACTGGCGCATCTTTCTGCTAACATCGTGGCTCAAAAGGTATACAAGAAAGAATACCACTGAATCACATTGAAACGTTAGAACCAATAAGAAAAGTGAGGGAATACATATCATAATTTCTAGCTTTCATGAATAATAATCAGCTAAAAGCCTAAAAGTAACGTGAATTTCCACTAAATAATTAATTAGCATAGAAGAACATACCATAGACAGCATGGATGAAACCAGGCTTCATTGCAACAAGGAATATCAAAGTTAGCACGATAGGTCGAGAGCTTTTGCGCAAACCCCATGCAATAGTTGCCACAATTAGTACCTTGGTCTCTCCAGCCTCTGAAAATTAAATTGTGTAAGGGACCCAACTTTACCACTACCAAGGAATTGACAACCAATAAGAATAAAATTAGGAGAAAGAAATCAATATTTTTAATGTAATAAGAATATAGGACATATGGACAATCATGCAGTCTGGGATCAGATTCCTCCAAGAATGTTTACAAATTTACATTCAATATCAAAAAAATTTATTTATAAGTAGCACCCATTAAATTGAAGCTTTCATACAACCAATTAGCTAACTATTAAACAAAGAAGATAACCACGCTTATCTAATAAACAAAATGGAAAACTAATTGACTAACAACAATCAGCACAGTAATGAGCTACTAACAATATTTTGTCAAGTTTGTTTTTTTTAGGGTGTCAATAGTAAGATTGTTCAATCTTGAGTATAGAAACTATCTTATATTGAAATATTAAAGCAACATACGATATGAGAATCCTATTCTCTAGTTTCAAATTACCAGCTCAGCTTACATGACAACCTTTATATACCCTTACTCCCCTAACAAACTAATTAATTGTCTACACGTGAAACACTTACAGCTTGAGCTTGTCATTAATCTTGTCTTATCATTTTCACCTCCTTAGACATTCACCTTTTCCTCACAGTGAAACTAAGGAAATTGCTGAGCTAAGACATTCAGTCCCTACGCTGTAGTTCCTCCGGTTCCTCGGGCCTTTTTCTCTAAGTATGATTTGCGCAGTTACAGCTTGGCATTACTCTTATCGATGTCACCTGCTTAGACATTCACTTTATCCTCATGGTGGAACTAAGGAAACTGATGAGATAAGACATTCAGTGCCAAATAGCATCTTTAACTAACTACCCTTCCCACTAAATTAGAACTTCATGCTCATCTTGCTGAGCTAAGACATTCAGTGCCAAGTATAACATCTTCAATTGACTACCCTACCCAATAAATCAGGACATCATGCTCATCCTATTGAGGTGTGTTGCCCTAAACTCGTAGTTTGTAATTATGTAAAAACAAAATTTATATTCAATAAAGCTATGTTTTCATATTTAATCAAATTGTTGTTGAATTAATTGTCCAAATCTAATAAAGTAAACATCCAAAGTTATTTTCATGTAACCGGAACAGTATATATACTGGGTGTATATTTGATACACTCTCGATATACAAGTGGATCATGTCCTGGAAATAACCTAAATGGTCTATAGTACATGGATAAGGCTGGATAACTTATCTTGGCAACACTATGGATACGGCCCACTTTGTAAATGTTACAAATGACTCGATCCAGGTCGTTCGTGTGGAGACATGCGAGTGGGGGTATCCTATACAATGAGTTTGTATAAGATCGGACCGTGAAATAGTCAATCTTTAGATGTAACACCGTTGACTAATAGATTGTTATTTCATAGGATGACCAGACAACTCATTCTCAATCCTGAGTGAGTAACGAACTCCTACCCGTGACGACTCGTTCTTTGATCTGTATGGGTGAGAGTGGCCCGAGTCACCGACTTAACATTCCTACCATTTTTGGGACAAGACCGAGTGGGGAGCTAAGAACATAACTTCACAAGATGGAAGTCACTTCTACCCGACTTTAGGAGAGTAGATAGTGTTCCCTTTAGTGCTGACTCCGAGACTTGAACAAGGGGTCTCACCCTCTCACTAACTCGAGAGAGACTTCCAGTTATTGGTTGGACCATAACCAGGTTGTTCATTAGAGGATCAACGGTGTTTAAGGTACAAGATGTAACACGAGGGTAAAACAGTAATTTGACCCATCTATGGTTACGAACACTCATGAATGATTGACTTACCGTTAATGCTCGATATCCGTAGACACAGAAATATTCTATAGTGAGAAGAGTGCAGCTGCAAGTTTTTAGTAGAGTAACCCGTAGTTAACGTATGTTGATTAAGGTGATTAATGAATTTAACCAATTAATCTCGCAACGTTGGAGCTTCTGATCTATAGGTCCATTAGGTCCCCTTGCTAGCTCGTAAAGGGTAATTAAGAACATTAAATTTTGGAAAGAATTTGAATTATTCAAATTTAATTAAAGGGAATTTGAGTTAATTGTATATGGCACAATTAATATAATGTATGATGATGCATTATAAAACTATATATTATGAGAGAATAATGTGAATTGGATTCGTATTAAAACTATAGGTTAAAATTTAATATGAATTAGATACATATTAAATACTATAGGTTACGAGGGAAATTTATATTTGAATATGATTCAAACATTAATTTACTTAATTAAATGTGGTTTAATTGAATTATATTTAATTAATTAATTAATTAAGATTTAATTAATTATTAATTAAATTAAATATATATTAATTAATTAACCACTCCCCAGCGAGAAGCGGTGAGGTGGAGAGTGAGAGGTTACTCCCACTCCTTTCTCTTCCCTCTACGTTGAAATCACAAAGGTTAACTGTGTTTTTTTGTGCGATTTGGTTTCTTGGCACAATTTGGTTTTTGGAGAAAAAGTCTCTCTCTTGTAATCTCATAACACTAAAAAACTCCCGATTTTTCCCTTTCCAAGAAATAGGATCCCACAATCTGGGTTCTTAATCCCAGAGAAAAGCAAGGTAACTTCATGGTGGTGTCCATAAATGGGTTCCTGAAGAAGTGTTTGTGCTCGAGGAAGAAAATCCGTTCACGGTCTACAAAAGTAAGTTTCTTCCTCCCAACAATCACAAGCGATCAATCGCTTTCGCTGGGGATTCAATCCCTTCACATCCACAGCTAGCTTAGAAGAAGAGCAAATGCCTAACACAACCTTCAATATCAACTTTGTTAACTTTGTTCCAACTTGACTGTCAACTTAGGTGGGAGGTCGCAAGGTTGAAGTGAATTGCATTGAGATGACTTCCCACTAAATAGGTAGGCTTTAATTATGGGCAACAGGTTTTTGGTTGGTTCCGCTTTGCAGCAGTTTTGAGGGTTGAGATATTATAGTTCTCTTGTCTTCTCTTGGTGGAGGGAGGTTTCAGATTCTTTACTTCTTCATTCTGGCGATCAATTTGTGTTAAGTGATTGTTTTGGTTTCCTCCTCAGCAGTCAGTCCTTTTGAAGTTGCAAGCTTTATTGATATCAGTTTTTCAGTATTTGTTCTTGGGCTTCAGATCTCATCTATTTCATGGGTTTTTGGTTTCTATGTTTTGATTGTTTTTCTTATTCTTTTTCGCTTCCTTCGAGAGCTTGTATCCTTGAACTTTTTTCTTCCTTTTCATACTATCAATGAAAAGTTTGTTTTTGTTAAAAAAATATTTAGTAATAATAACCGTGAGATGTTAAAAATGGGGTGAATAGTGGCCTCTGGAGGAAGTTCCATTGAATTGCATGCAATAGACTACCTTGCCAATTCGTTCTCTAATAATTGCTCAGTCCTACACATCCACATTGTAATTTAAGTTCATCATCCTAACAGAAGCCACCAACCAGAAATATTACCCTCGGAAGATGTGTTTGGACCACATGTTCTCAAAGGCTAAAATATGAATGAGAAATAAATAACTCCCCAATAGAAATGGAAAAATATTTCCAAATACATTGTCAGTTACTTCCTTTGAGAACATATTAAAAGAAGGCAATTTTCTCATATTTTCTCATACTAAAATATGAATGAGAAATAAATAACTCCCCTACAGATAATGATTATTAATATCCCTCTTCCAATTCTTCGTCAGTTACTTCCATAAAACCCAAAAATCTTCAATGGTAAAACTGTTTGAGCTCAGAGTAATAATAAAAGAAGGCAATTTTCTTTGGGGTCCGAAGGTACAAAAATCAATGGCTTGTCTATGATTTTAAAGATATCAGAAGATGGAAGAGATGTGATCCATGGTTGAGACACAACTTACAGCGAGCATAAAAATAAGGGGATAAAAACATACTTCTTAAAATAGTGTTAGAGTATTTATATTAGTATATTTTATATTATTGTAATCACCTGTATTAGTGTATCATTTATCGTACTTTTACCTTCTTTACTTAGGTCAACCTTGTATATTTCTCTATATATATTCTTCAGTAATAGAATTATCTCATTCTCTCAAGCCTTAACATTTACAACAAAAATAATTGTAAATATAGGAAAAACTGAAAGAAGATAATGAGTAGCATGGTGTAGCGTCAACCAATCAATCACTTAGTAATTACCTCTAGCACTGGAGTTGTCTGCATTGGAGTTGTCATTTGAAGAACACTCATCCTCATTGGACAAGCAAAGGAAAACCGAATTGTTTACAAGATTAACCAATGCGACCAAAATTCCAAGACAAAATTGTGCAAGCAGAAAGAATCCGGGTATAGGATAATGCCACAAACCCATCATCTCCCAAACATCCATGTCCTGCAGACATAACCAAGAAAGACTTCCATTAATGCTTGTGTCCTGATGAACAGATTAATATTCTTCCAATTCAACAATACCTTTCCAAGCTTCCGATTCAAAAATGTGAATGCTACATTGAAGATGTATGTGCTGATAGCCCAGAAGAGAATGAAGACAAGCAGCAGCCCGTTCAATCGATGCAAATGGAATAAGGAAGGAAAGGCATATATAATGTACCCAACATATGCAAGTAACCCAAATGCACATAGACTTGCAAAATGGAAACTCCAGAAGGACAGAGCAACCAAGGAGACCTGTCACAATGAGCGCTGCAAGCTTAAATAGATCTTAATATGGGTGAACTCAACACAAAAAAAAATAACTCGAAATCATTAAAGTTCTGTTGTTTAGATTCCGTCTTTGTATTTTTATGTTTTTTATGCTTTTTTTTCACTCTTTCGAGAATTTGTATTCTTGAATAATTTTTGTTCATTTTCATTCATCAATGAAAAGTTCGTATTTTATTCAAAAAATAAAAAGAAAAAAAACTTGAAATCATTAAAATTGCATTAAGAGAACGGTAGCGAAAAGAATCAAACTATGCACACACAAAAAATTTGAAAATTCTTCTTGTAGATAAGAAACCAATTTCATTGAATAATTGAAAACAGAAGGCATCTACTAAAGGATAAAAACTCCTGAATTGGCTGAAAGGAACATAAGAAATGTGGAAGTTACAAAATGATTTAGAGAGGCAAGCATAAACAGAAGTAAGTCTGGTAATATTGTGACAAAAATCCTCTCTATCCCTTTGAACCTCATCAAAGATCCTACAATTTCTTCTGAGTCGAACACTCCACAATAGTGACCTGGATGGAAGTGCAACACGACACATTATGCAAGAATTGATTGACTCCATCACAAATTGTTCCATAAAAGATCCCAAGATAATTATAACAAGCAAAGATTGATGTAACTAACTACTTTATTTAGTTGTTAATAAAGTAGTTTAGTTAGTTAAGAGTTAGTTGGGTTCCTACCAAAAAAAGAAAAAGATCTCTCTATTACTTTGAGAAGAGAATCGTTGGTTTGACCGACGGACTACGTGGGAAATACGAGATCTAGGCAAGTCGCTACATGTTTTCCCCTTACCCTTGAACGAACGATAGAAGAACTACTGAGATTCTCTTAGATAGTGGTCGCATCTACGGTCAATCAATAGGTCCACAGATCTCTTCTTCTAATACATCGCCATCTTAGTTAGTTGTTTGTTAGAAGTTTCCAATGGCTAGTTCTTAAATGTCGTAGCCCTTTATCTATAAAGAGGGGCTTGTATTCTCTTTTAAGGGATGATGAATAATACTTTTTGTTTTTTTTAACAAGAAACAAACTTTTCATTGATATATGAAAAGGAAGAAAATATTCAAATGATACAAACTCCCAAAGGGAGCATAGAAAGAAAGGAAAGAATGGCCAAATAAAGCACAAAAATCCAAAAAAGATACAATAGAATAAAACATCGATGAACAAAGCAACTATAAGATCAACGAAAACATGCGCCAAAAGAATCATAAACACTCCTTTCAAGCTTGAATTATGAGGCTCATTCTCAGAAGAACATCTTGGCAACAGACCAGGAGAAAATTGGATGAGGCTTTCTGACAAAATGTGCAAATAACCTTGAAAAGACTTAACCATATCAGCCGACTAATTAAGAGATCCATCAAAAGATCGATAAGTGAAGACTTGGAAAGAGCATAGGCCTTTAAAATACGACTTAAGGGCAATTAGAAGCCCAATAGAACTCCTCAGAGACTGAAACAAGAACAATCAAATTCTCAAAACCTTTGTCAAATCCAGCAAAGATGGAAAGCTCAGCTACTTTAATCTGCAAAGCCAACATATAAACAACTCCTGGAAGCATCCTTGACCCGCCGTGAGAACCAAAACCATAAAGATTTCCAAATAAGAGAGGAAGAACAGAACTTTAAAATGACCCTTCGGATTCCAAAAAATCGAGCTTTGAACAAGATTAAAACTTCGAAGCAACTTTTACACTCTCATCAATGATTGGAACTAGGGTTATGTCAACTTCTTCAAAATATTGGAAAAAGCTTTGATTATCAGAACAAGAATCGTTCGAAGAGGAAAGCAATGGAGCCGCTCTTCCAGGAGGGTTTAAAGAGTCTTTATCTTCCCCAAAAAAGTTATTAAAATCTTCTGTAAAAGAATGCTCGGAGAAATCTTCATGATCAACCTCTTGATCTTCTGGAAATCCAGGAAAATCCTTACTACTCATACTAATATTGCATCCTTCCTCATCATCAAATGAATCACAAACATTCGTATTCTTAATCAATTTCTCATTTGTTGAGTTAATTATATCGAGGCTAAGGGCTGAAATTTCTTTAACTTTCCTTTTATTTTTCTCCACAACATGTTCTTTTTTCTCCACAACATGTTCTTTGTCCTCATTAAAAGAATCCAATAAATTTTTTTGCATAATCGGATCCTTGGAAACCGAATCTCTCTTCATTAATCCCTTTATCCAAAGCTAAGATTCCCCCCTATTTGAATTTAGAATACCGCAATCCATGGATGATTTTAATTTACTCTTTGTTTTTAAATTCTCAACGGCACCATATTTGGTATCAGAGCACCAAAATCTTTGGGCTCAAATGGTGGACAAGAAATCTTTCACGACCGTGGGAGATTCATCACTCGCCGGAAAAGAGGAGGATCAAACCACCACCCTCCCACCACAAACCACGACCAATCGCTTGCTAATGGTTGAAGGGGTTGTCAATGAAATCCAACGGATGTGGGTGAGATGAAACAATTGTTGAGGGTTACAGCCAAACAATTGGAAAGTTTGGGTTTACAACAAAGTCACGAAAGATTCGACCAAGAAGTACAAGTAAGAGAATGGGACAATAAAGTTCTTCAAGACCAACAATAAAGAACAACTTACACTCCAACCTATTGGATACATCAATGAAGGTTATATCTACAGCTACAACAATGGAAGAGCAAAATAACAATGGCTTCAAAAGGCAATACACTCGAAGAACAAATTGGGACAACCAAAATAATACCAACATGAAGAATATCCCTTCATAGATAGACAACTAGCTTCGACAAGGTCTTCTTCATCATCTCCACATAACCCCGAGAAGCATCTCCAATATATTTCAGAGTCTCTTCATCCCATCTATCCAAAGGTAGGTTTCTGATTTTTATCCATCCCCAAGAATCACCAGGCTCTATCTATAGCAGTATAGCGTTCTTACTCCATGGAACGAATTTTAGTAGGAACTCCCCAACTTGATACCATGCAGTCAGCTTGCAGAGGGCCCTAGTTTGTTCTTCTCCTTCTCATCTTAACAATTCGCTATTTACTAGGAACGGATTCAAGGAATAGAAGTCTAATATTTCCTTGTAGAGCTCTCATAATCTTATACCAGGCATCATGAAAGCAACTTCAAATGACTATGATTGACGAGTCTCGGAGGGGGTCTATGTGCATACTTTTTTTGGAGGAACCTGCTGTATTTTCGTAAATCCCATATTCTTTTTTGGAGAAGTATGTCCAGGATCGCCGATACTGAGAATGTCTCTCAAGTAGGTCATGGTGCCATTAATAAGGGATTTAGGATGGGTGGTTGAGGCATTAATGGAGTTATGAGAGCATATAAGTGAGTAGTTACTAATTAGATTATAAAAACCCTCCATCCTATCATTTCTTCACCAACAGGAACAAGTATCTTATCGATCCCTCCGTTGTTGCCAAGTTTCATGATTTCTGCCAACGTTCCTTTTCTTTGAGAGATTTTCCATCCATAGGGTCTGGTCATCAATATGAATCTCCTTGAAGAACTTGTCGTTCAGAGGAGCACTTAGCAGAGTGGAAAGAACGTTGGCAATCGATGTGAGAGAAGACCAATGAATGGAAATGAAGAAAATACCTATCTTTCCTTGTTCAAGTAATCTTAGCACTACCCCAAAACCTCTAGTCAACTTCTATGGAGAAAGATTTCCTCTTGAGAGTGATCCTTGGCAATCGGAGAAGGATTTAAGCAAAACAGGGGAAGCCATGGTAAGGGAAGGTTGCTGGTAGGAGGGGAGTTGCGGGCTTGGTGGGAGGAAGGGAGAGGGACGAGTCAAGAGAGAGAGAGAGAGAGAGAGAGTCATTTTTTTAGAAACTTCTAATGAAAACAGTCGTGGCCCAATTGAAGCTTTCGAAAGTTTGAAACCCATCGTAGCTAAATGTCCAACGTTTTTCCATAGTTGAAGAATTATGAAGACATTTTGATGAAATATAAAAGAATTGTTGAGAGGAAGAGTGTTTTCTTGCTCAGACTAAACAAAGAACGTGATGAAGTGCGTGGCAGAATCCTGAACTTTCTTGCCTATCCAATAAGGCAACTCACCCAATAATTTCTCCATCATTTCAACATCTTCTTCAACTGGAGCTCATTTACTGAATTCTGAACCCCATATATCCAAATTGTGAACCCAATTTATGCATTTTGACGGTGAGCAAGGGCGTACCCATATAATCTAGGGAAAGAATAAATAATATAGCGCCATTGTTTTTCAGTCCTTTCCAACTTTGCAAAAAACAGTACAATTTAATATAGGCCACACAGCAAGAAATCAAAGACCAGGGGCCTAGCGGCTAGACAAACACGTCTAGTATTTATGAACTAGCCCAAGGAATCCTCAACAAATTTGCTAAAAGTCACTTTGTGCCGGGGCACTGAGTTCCAAAGGAAATCTCCGTAGCCACTTAGACATGAGATTTATTCCTTCATCTGATTTTTTTCACCCAAAAAAAATTATTGAAAAATAAAATTAACTCGTGTTACTAATCCCCGAACTCCAAACTCAAGAAAGCCCACAAGTACATGAAAACCAGAACCATCATGGTAAAATGTTTGGCACAAACTATAAAGCCAGATCATGCCAGATAGTGTCATATCCATATTCAACATTAAATCTAATAAGATATTAATACATCCATGAAGGAAAAACAAACATAACTATACGCTGGTCCATAGAAAACACTTTGATTAGAAATATATACCGGGAAACCATACGTGAAAAAGTTAATAGTAAATGTTCGGAAAACTTCTCTCCTCAACAAAACATTAGTATGCTTCACACCAGACCTGCAACATTCAGTAGCAGGTATATATGAGCAAAAGAACTGCAAATGAGCATTGTTATTTCAATATTTTCTCAAGAAATTCACTAAAGATATATATTTTTTAAACATTAATCAACGGATGTGAATGGAAGGGAAAAAAATCTTAATAAGAAAGTAAAACAAATAGAATAGTGTCATGTAAACCCGATAAAAATAACTTAAAGTTTGAGACCTCAATTCACGAATGAAAAATGAATGTTTCGAGGGAAGAAGTTGCTCCACTAAGTTGTTTTCCCTCATTGACAAGATGAAATCCATTTCCTCAAGATCGCATTTAACACAAGAAAGCTGCACAAGAAGCATTACAATAAAACTAATCATTCAACAAAATTTCTAGGATTCAATAATGAATCTGAACTGTAAAGTTGAAACAGATGCTATCTACTTCAAGTCCTACCATAATATACAAAGCACATGTTTTTTTAAAACAAAAGCATTAAATATTAAAAAAAAGTTACATACCATGATATAGAAAAGTGTAAGAGAAACATAGGAACAGATCTCAGGCCATTCGGAGGTTGACAATATTTTAAATAGACCAATGAATTCAGCCACCCATTTCAACATACTAGGGTACTGAACAGGAAGCTGATACACATAAACAAGAAAAATGCTAAAACCTGCATACAGTTGAAGAGGCCTCCACCACCTTCAAATAACATGTCAAGTCAGAACATAAAAAAAGATTGAATGCAACTGATAAAAACAAACAACTTCAAACTACAACAGAGTGTGTGTTGGAATTTCCAATATTTATAAATACTATTTGTAAATATTAGATGTCAATATTTAGTCTTTATTGTCTTTTTTTTTTCCTTTATGTAATGTAGTGGGTCTTTGGAGAAAGACCTACATTGCACATATTTGAATATATCAGAAAATTGTATTCTCTCAAAATTAAGAGTGTGTGCCAAAGTTTGTGGCCAGGAAACAATCAAGATCACAAAGAAATAACCTGAAAAGTCCTAAGAAGTTGCTTGTTAAAGACCAATCCACCAGACCTACACAGCTGCCAATGAAAAATGGAAGAGAAACCCATGAAGGACGGCTAATTCCCACAATAATCTGAATGGCAGGAAGTAGTAAACAGGAAGCAACCCTTAGATGAGAACCTGCCATTGACAACAGGTATTAAATCCTTGCATTTTATTTTATGAAGAAATGTATGGCCAATTTTATTGCAAAATAGGGCTTGGTAAATAAGCATACAGTGCAAACTGCTCCATGTGCAGAATTAATTGATTGATAATTAGTCATACATGTATGATATACCATCCCTGAAAACATACAGCTACTGCACATTCTGATACTCCTTCCCCCCAACAAACATCAAACTCATTATTTGAAGCATGTCCATACACAAACAAACAAAATTATCTTCCCTTCTGCAAACGGTGTTACCATGATAAACTCCAGCTGCTGATTGACATGGTTCACTTGCAGACATTTGCTGAGCAATAGGTAAATCTTTGCTCTTTCTTTTCTTACATTCTCTACTTTAGTGAAAGTGCATCAAGTTCTAGGATGTATGCTTATTGAATTGGAGTAATGATCTTACAAAGGGAAAAAACAAATTATTGAAATATTAGAATGGTACTAACTAACAACAAACCTAGCTGATCGAAGAAAGATAAGAGATGAACCCAGCATGAATCTCCCCTTGGAACAAGACCAATTCTGTCCCGGAAAATATCAGCAGTGGCAACAAAAATTGCTAACAGCTGTACAACCAAGAAATAAATAACAGAAGGAGATTTCCATGACTGAATTCTGCAGGTGCCAGGAATAAATTGTCAGTAAGTAAAAGCAGAAGTGAACGAAAAGGGAAAAAGGAAAATGCTTTCTTTCAGATCTTACGTCATGAAACCAATCACCTTCGCCCACCATGCATTGGCCAAGCTTATATTATATCCCTCAAGAGACCATACAAGAAGAAAGATTCCTTGAGAAAGAATAACAAGCGAGGAGAATATGATAATTGGCCATAATACCAAATTCCGCCTACCAAAAATAAACCCTACAAGAAAGAAGTACCAAGTAAAACACTAAGTAATGAAAAATATATAAACAAATACTGTCATGAGCAGGTAGTTACTTATAAAGCACTCTCGCTAGGAGAGTAAAACTAAACCATTGGAAAAAACCCCAAAAAATACAATGGCACTTGGAACCCAGTCTTAAAGATAAGAACCACAAAGCTTTCCCGAGATGAAAAAATGACCAAAGGATCTTGAATAATGGAACTTAGATCTTGTACAACCCTCCTAAAAAAAAACTTAAGGTAAAAAGTATGGCTCTTTTTTTATATATATATATATGAAACGAGTATTTCATTGATGGTATGAAATATACAAAAGGCCACAAGGGCAGTTACAAAAACGCCTTCCAATTAATGATAAGGTCGTTAAGGGTGTAAGTAGTGAAGGGTGGATAGAAACTTTTACACCAACCAAGAACAAGTACAGTAACTCTGTCCAAAAAAGAATCAAAAGGAAGAGATTTGTTGTTAAAGACTTTGTTGTTCCCTTCTAGCCATAAGCTCCAAAGGAAGGCTGATGAAAAGGATCCAAAGAGTAGCTTTATTCTTTTTGAAAGGATGGCCAGCCAAGAGACAGTCAAGGAAGATGGATGGAATGTTGTGTAGTGTTGTCTTCCAGCCAAAGATAGAGAGGAGATGTCCCCAAAATTTAGAAGCAAAGTTGCAGCTGATGAAGAGATGTCCCACTGATTCCGATGCCCTGAAACAGAGGTGACAGCAACTTGGAGAGAGGGAGATGTGTGGGAGCTTTTTCTGAATCCGATCATAGGTGTTCACGGCCCCATGACTGAGTTCCCAGCAGAAAAACTTTACCTTTTTAGGACATTTGCCTTGCCAAAGAGTGGGAAAAAGGGAGGATTCATTGTAGGTTCCGGCCGACGACAAATGCTTGTAAACAGAGCTGGTAGTGAAGGCTTTGCTCGGATCAAGAGGCCAAAACCATTTATCATCACTAGGGGAGGGACAATTTCATCAAGTAAGTGTGAAAGGTGCAGCCAGTCATCGAATTCCTCATCTTTAAATGGTCTACGGTAGCTATAAACCCAACAAGAAGTATCTTTATCCCAATGATCAGCAATTATGGCGTCTTTGTTCATTGCTATGGCAAAGAGCCTCAGATAAAGGCTGGCTAATGACCCCGGGGGGTGCCATCTATCCCTCCAAAAACAGCATTGACTTCTTTCCCCCACCTGGCAGTGAACAAAGTCCTTAATTAAGTGGGTTTGTTGACGGATGGATATTCACGGACCTTTGTAGCCAGAAGAGTAGATTGTGGGCCAAGTATCTGTGGATGACCTCATATATTTTGCAGAAATGAAAGTCCTCCAAAGGTGGTTTTTCTAATTAATGAAACGCCAAATCCATTTGGAGAGCAGAGCACTATTCTTGTGCTTGATGTTGCCAACACCCAGACCACCGTCATTTAAGGGAACCTGGACATGTTTCCAATTAACAAGATGAGGCTTGCCGTTAGAGATTGGTCCTTCCCATAAAAAGTCCCGACAGATTTTACTGATTTGGTCTGCCACCTTTCTGGCAAGCTGAAAAGAGAAAGGTAATAAGTGGGAAGGTTGGATAAAACAGATTAAAGGATAGTGTGTCTTCCCCCTTTTGATATAAAGATGTTGCTCCATCCGCTCAACCATTTTTCGATGATGGGATGCCAAAAGGAATCCTTCCTAGGATTTCCGTTCAAAGGGAGACCCAGGTAGGTGCATGGCCAAGTGCCTGTTTTGCATCCCCAAGCCTTAACGATGAGTGTAGTGATCTGTGAATCAATGGAGACTCCATGGACACCGGATTTGTTGTAGTTAATGTTGAGACCCAAGGCAACCTCAAATGATTTGATAATTTTTTGGAGATTCATTTTTTTTTTTTTTTTGAAATCCGTGTGTCCGAGCCAGCTTGCGCGCACATCGACTAATCACGGATCAACCGCCTGACCCTACTACATTTGGTTGACAAGGTAACTCGTAGGATATTAAATCCTAGGTAGGTGGCCACCATGGTTTGAGTGATCCATACTAGTAAAAAGAAGCGTGTCATCTGCAAAAAGAATATGGTTAATCTTAATCAATCCACATCTAGATGAGTAACCTTCTATCTCGCCTCGACTTTCTCCATGGGTGAGCATACCACTTAGGACATCAGTGATCATAATGAAGAGGAAAGGGGAGAGTGGGTCCCCTTGTCTTAGGCCTCTGGTAGCTGTGAATTTGCCCCTCGGTTTGTCATTGATAATAATGGAAAAGCTCGTTGTTGAGATACATGCCCAAATCCATTTCCTCCATTTAGTCCCAAAACCTTTGTGGTACATCACAGTGTCGAAGAAGTCTCAATCAACCATATCAAAGGCTTTCTCGAGATCAAGTTGAATCACTGCTCCTTTATAATTCCGAACTTGCCAATCGTCAACAATTTCATTTGCAATGAGAGAGAAGTCGAGGATCTATTGTCCCTCTACGAAGGCAGATTGGTACTCCGTGATGGTACTAGATAGCACCTTTTTTAGCCTCTCGGAGAAGACCCTAGCAATAATTTTGTAGGCACAGGGGATGAGGCCAATGGGCCGGAAATCATGGACGGTCTTGGCACCTTTTCTTTTGGGAACAAGGGAAATGTAAGTCTCGTTTAGGGCGGTAATGATAATCCCGTTTTTAAAAAGATCTTGGAACATGACCAATATATCGGACTTGATGGTGTTCCATGATTTTTTGAAAAACTCTACAGTGAAACCATCCGGCCCGGGAGCTTTGTCGGACCCAAGGGAGTTAACCGCCTTGTGGATTTCATCCTCTGTAAAATCTTGCTCTAACATGGCACTGCTCTCATGGGTGATCGAGTCCCATGGCAGGTTTGTGGGGCAGCTTCTCTGACCTACCCTTCTAGTATAGAGAGAGGTGTAGAAGTCTATAAATTCCTTTTCAATATCCTTGATGTGTGTAAGGCTGGTACCATCTCTGGAGAGAATTTCTGTTACGGTACTTCTTCTTCTTTAGTCATCTAGGAATCTATGGAAGAACTTTGTGTTTTCATCCCCTTCAACCAATTTTGTTTGCATTTTTGGCACCAGAAAACTTCTTCCTGAGCCGTTAGCGCAAGGAGGTCATCCCTAGCCTTGTTCCTTTCCAAAATTTGGGTTGGTGAAAGGGGACTTTGTCCTTCAAGCTCATCGAAAGAATTAAGCAGCTTCATGATGTTGTCCTTCTGTGGTTGCAGGCGACCGGCGTGCTCTTTGTTCCAGACTTTCAATGCTAGCTTGAGGGATTTGAGCTTCATCATCAAACCATGACCTGGCCAACCAAAAGAGGGATTGTTGCGCCACCAATTATCAATGAAAGGTTGGAAAGATTTATGGCACAACCACATGTTCGCAAATCTGAAAGGAGTGGGCCTTAGTTGTTTTGGCCAAAGTCCAAAAGAATGGGGAAGTGTGATCAGAGGTAGTTCTGTCCATTCTCGTAGCCAGTGGTAAGCCAAATCTGTTGATGCAGCCATGAGAGAGAAGAAATCTGTCAACGAGGGAGAAGAAGACCAAGTATACTTCCCATTGCTCAAGGGTATGTCAGTAAGACCGGAATCCTCAATGAAAGCATTAAAGTGTTTCATGCTTCTGGTGAGGGGTCTACCATGAGATTTCTCCCAAGACCATCTGGAAACGTTGAAGTCTCCCGCTAATATCCACTAATTTTCGCAAAGATAAGAGAGGTCCTGAAGCTCATTCCAGAAAAGGTGGCGGTATTCAGTATTTGAGGGGCCATAAATGCCTGAGATCCAAAAAGAGAAACCATCAACAAGACAAAAGTTAATGGATAAGGAGAAAACACCTTCAATGATCTCAATCACAGTGAAGTCGGAATCATTCCAGAGAAAGAGAATCCCTCCACTGGAACCGGCAGTGTCAAGGGCGAACCAGTTAATCCCATGTGAGCTCCAAAGGGATTTGATGATGAGAGGGTCAATGCTAGCTAGCTTAGTTTCTTGTAGAATAACAAGATTTGGATTAAGGTGGGAAATGGACTGTTTTATGAGGGCTCTCTTCTTCCACGAGCCCAACCCTCAAACATTCCAGGATAGAAGCTTCATCTAACAGATGAGGGCCCCCCTTTGTGAATCTTCCTCTTTTCGTAGTTGATAGATGTGGAGAGATTCTTTAGTTCTCTATTTCCGGCCTTCAAATTATGAGCTTTAGGTTGTGGCTTGATTAATAGGCCCGTCGGTGGAATGCCCATGATGCAAAGTCCCAAATCTTGCAAGTAATTGTCAAGGTAGCGCTTAAAGCGGTCAGGGGAAAGGAAGGCTTTGGCCATGTCCTTGTCAACAAAGTCTATGTTTAATGGGTCAGCGGCCAGAGGTTGCAGTGCAGTAGAGTCCATAGTGTTCGTCAGTGGGTTGATGGATGAGGGATTAGGGATTGGTGGGTTGGGTGATGTTTCAGTAGGGTGGCTGATGGGAGGGATGTCAGCGTCCTCGTGGATGGGCAAGTCACCAAGGAGGATAATTGGGATGATGGGAGTGTGTGGACTGCTGCAGAGGTATGGTTTTGGGCTTTCCTCAGGGAGAGGGTTGGAAAAGTAATCCAGCTCCTCTATGTCGTCTTGTAATGGGCTTATGGGTAGATGACTAGGTTTCCGTTTAGGGAAGAAGGATGAAGGAAGCTGTTTATCCCTGAAAGTCACATGTTTACTATTTCCATGAAGAATTAATGGAAGCTGTACCCGATTTGGGGAGCTCTATGGAAGAGGCGCAGAGGTGTCATTGACTTTTTCCTTCCATTTGGATTTTGTCAAGGATGTCTGTGGTGGAGGAGCAGGCGAGGTTCGAGGTCCAGTGATGACAGAGTGCTCGAAAAAAGAGCTTCGACCCGCTGGGCCGATCTCTGCTGCAACGTTGCGATCTGCTCCGGTGGGGTCCGACAACGTGGGAGCGGGGGAGGGGGGTGTTACCGCGTGCTCTTTGGTGGGTTTTCTCTAGCCAGCGCGAGCAATATGGCAGCGACCCACCAACTTCTCTACAATGAGAAAGGGGTCGATTTGAATGGTGATAGCGTCTTCATGTGTGAAGGAAGGAGGGAGCTCAATAGAGGCCAGGATAAATCCAGTGTTGTTGCCTTTGACCTTTATCTTAAGTTCCATAGGATCCCTGAAGCTAGAAGACGCCCCAAAGGTAGCCAAGAAACCGCCGCAACAATCTCCAATAAATGGAACAACTGTATCGTTCCAAAGGTGTAGGGGAAAATCACGTATGATAATCCATCCTCCATAGGATGGGACTTGCCAGTTTGTGTTGATGTTCTTAGTGCTCCATTGGAGAAAACGGAGCTGGTAGGAACCGACTCTTGCCATTCGGGGTTTTGGGTGAGGGTGTTAGCTTGCGAACTGTCCTTGCATCTGAGGAGGGCTTTGTCACCGTGTATGAGGCTAAGTGAGCAGAAACCGCTGATCGTTTCTTGAATGGCTAGCAGAATGGGATGCCAATCATCATGGAACGATTGGCGTTGAACAATAATCCATCGACTCCAAGTGAAAATTTCAGGGAACAGAGACAACTTGGAAGGTGAGTCTGTGATCACCGAGAAATGGCGGTGGGGCGTAGCTTCAGGCGGAGGCAGGGGTAGTTGTGAGTGGACAGCAAGGCAGCTGTCATTTCGGGATGGGGTCGATTGGAGGTTTGTGGTATCGAATGAGGCTTGTCAGAGGTCGGGTAGTCAAGGAGAAGGTTGTAAAAAAGCTTCAATCCCTCTTTATCGTTTCCGAAGGGAAGCATAATCCTATTCTTCCTGCCATTGTTGTCTAGTTTCTTAAATTCCACCCAAAAACCTCTTTTGTTGTTGAGTTTCTCAACCCAGAGGGTGCAGTCATCATTCCTATGTTCTCGAAAGAACTTGTTGGTGAGAGGAGAGCTGAGCAAGAGGTTGAGTGAAGAGATAAACCAGGATACAGAGGCCCACATAAGAGAGAATGAGAAGGATGAATTTCTAGTAGATTCAGTGATCCTTGCACGGCTATCCCTGAAGTTTTCATCAACCTTGATGGCGAAGGTTTTCCTTTCAATGACGATTTTCCTAGAAGGATAGTTCCAGGAGGTCATGGTGATTATAGCCAGCAGTAGAACAAAGGTTGGGGTTCTAAGAAAAAAGATATTAATAATCGGATGTCCACGAAGGGACTTTTTTTTTTTTTGAACAAGATACGAACTTCTCATTGGAATAATGAAAAGGAACAAAATTGTTCAAAGATACAAACTCTCGAAAGAGTGAAAACAAGACTGAAAACAGAATTAAAGCTAAAACTTACAAAACTGTCATAAATACATCCCAATTAGAGTAAATTAGACTAAGGGAATAAGATTTAAGTAATGGCGATAAAGAACTCCATTGCGAGGTTTTAAATCTAGCGATGTCGAAACGAGGTGAAGGGCGCTGCCTCTTATCTTCAAAAACCCTAAGATTTCTTTCATACCATATTTCATACACCACTGCTTTTTCCGCATTAATCCACAGTAAGGATGCCTTTGGATTTAAATATGGCCCTGAGAGAATTTGGATCATATTTTCTGCCACTGTGTTGTCAAAGACCCAAGCCAAGTTAAATTTTAGGGACTTAACACTAAAAAAAATTCAAATACACAACCCACCACAAAGCTTGAAAAAAGGGGGGAAAAAGCACTTGGCAAACCTCTGCTTCTTCTTCCCCCTCTAAAATTTCTCGTCTTTTTTCCCTAAACTTTTCCAGCTTCAAACACCCTACTGCCCGATAAAACTACTTCTTCCCCCTCTTTCTTAAAGTTCTTCTAAAAAAGGTTTTTTAGCTAACTAAAAACATTTCAAAATTTCACAATGCTTACATACATAGCCAAAAGTGTTCTTACAAATTTCGAAAATACTTTAAACCACTTTAAAGTGTCCTTGGATGAAGTACTTAATTAGCCTTTTTCCCTCAAAGTGCTTATTAGAAAAGTAATAATTGACTTAAGATTACTCTGGACAAAGGCTATACCAAACTCGTGCTTAAATATTTTTTTGCTTCCTCATGGATTTCCTTATCGAAATCCTTTTGCAAGTACCTCATCTCCTTGATCGTTGCTAACTGGGGATCCTTTTCATAGACCACTGGCTCTCCTTCAGTTGTGCCTCTTGTGTACATTACCATTCACCAATAAAATTTGTTTTGTTTATATTTTTTGACTTTTTATTGATATATAAAAAGGAAGAGAAAATGTTCAAAGATACAAACTCTTGAAAGAGTGAGAAAGAAATTTGTTTTGTTTATAAAAAACGAAGTAGGAATTAACTAGGCATAAATGAATAATAACTAAAGCAAACAGTCAATATTATCAACTCTATCATTGACAGAATATTACCTATTTTATGTGCATTGAATTGAATGAAAAGAAACACCAATAAATCTATAAGAGAGACCAAACTGCAATTGATTAGAGCCGCTGCAAGAAAAAGAGAAAAGAAAAGAGTTAATCAATAGTTCTGAAGGTCAAACGAACATTATTCATCAGCATTCCTACGTGAAAGTAAGAAGTAAATTAGTTGTTTAATATCAAAAAAAAATCCTAAGATAAAACACGAACATTGCTTTTCTCTCTTTCAGAGAAAGAGCTTAAAAATGGAATTTGGTCAAATGTTTCCCAACATTTTAGTATAATGGTTATGTGCACGTGTAATTACTCTTTATTGTCTATATAGCACGCTTGGAGAGATTTTCTGTAACTACTCTGGCTCTTTCTTTTTATTTTTGGCGTAATTTCATACATATCGATGAATTGTCTTGTATCTAAAACATTTATCTGGAAAACAAATTGCCGGATAGCCCCTTAATCATCCATTTCTCCCTTGCCTTTTTGCTAAAAGTTGGATAAATCTTCCAAGCTATATCGGCGTATACTTAAACAGAGTTGTGGATTATCTTCTTGAAGCTTGTGGTGGCTTATGTATAGGGGTGAAGATTTCAACTCTTCATAGTGGAATGTCTATAATGGCTAGAAAGAAGTTGAAAGCTCTTCCAAGATGCTCATTAGACTTCAGGGGAGTTCTGGGTGTTAATTTATTTTGGAGCTTCCAATTAAATCTCTTTTGGTTGGAATTTTTGTCATCAACAGGACAGCTTTTCGTAATTCCTTGTTCGTTAGAACTGGGCCTAGTTGAAATTGTAAATGTTCAGGTTTCTACATATATAACAAAGCGTTTTTTTGCTCAAAATGAACTTAAAAGACCAGCTTCAGATCAAAGACCATCTGGGTTAATGTAGGGATGGCTATTTCAGGATAATTAGCAACTGATAAATAAAAAACTAAAGATCAGCTTCCAAAAGAGAGTCATCAGAAAGAATCACCATAACACATTTTGTGGCTCCTAATTCTTCAATTACAAAGGATTTAGAATATCGTCTCTTTTCCTGTGTGGAAGAGGACTTCATGACCTCCTCTCTTCTAGCTCAACTTCTCGTTCTGTGTTTAATATGGCACTTCACAGCAAATAAAACTTAGGAACCTTGGACATTAAGCAATTATAATTTCATTTATATTCTTGGGTTGCTCGCGAAGTCAGAAGTATAAATGCCGAACTAAGTCAAATGTCTCCATTTCCAAGACATCACTGAATGTAACTGTTCCAAGGCCATGGGATCAATTATTTTAACGAGAAAAATGCATCATTCAATCCAGTATGCCATCCCAAGACTACCAGCTCTGGAAAGCAAAACAAGTGTTTTGACTTACCAAGTTTTCAACCTGTGACTTTATTTGTTTGGTTGTTTGGTTTTCTTTTTACTCCTTTTTGGAGTTCGTATGCTTGAACATTTTTCAATCTTTTCGTCCGAAGAGTTTGTTCCTTAATAAAAAAAAAAGGTTCGCAACCTGTGACTTTAACCTTATCCCTGAACATCCCAAGCACTTACCACCTAACACCTTAGTTTACAACTATGTTGGTTTAGATCCTATAAAATGTCAGAAGTACAAAGTACCCCATACTCGGCAACAATTATTCCTAAACATACTACCTCCTTCAAAAGAAACATTAAACTGGACTAAAACACTGAAAGCCCTCAATCAATGTTAAACTAACCAAAACATTAAACTGGACTAAAACACTGAAAGCCCTCAATCAATGTTAAACTAACCAAAACATCACGCAAGAAAAAATGAACTTACAAGTAACAAGTTACAACATGATAAAACGGGGCCTAGGCTTACCAGTAAGAAGCAGCAGAGGCAACAAAAAACCACCGAGAAAACTCCCCATGAGAGGCGAATTTGCAGAGCGATCACTTGGATTCCACCATTAGCATAGCACTACTCCGGCAATGGGTTTTCAATTGAAATCCAAATCGTGAAAACCCATTTCCAGGAAAGCGCTAGAAATTTACGAAGCTCCCCCAATTCAGAAAGTCAAAATGAACGCTTGCAACAGAAGAAAGCAGAACTTTGTTCAATTGGGGGCGCTCCAAAATTTACGGTACGAAAGTATAATTCTTAATCTGCCAGCATCGACCAGGCTTTAGCCGCGAAGCTCTGGAAAATGCATAATGATTTTTTATGGGTAGCTGAATTCGGAATCGTTGAGAAATTATTTGGGGAAACTATATTTATGCCCAATCCCAAATAATAAAAATATAGTCTAATTCTTTGTCGAGATTCAAATTTTATTAAAAATATACAGTTTGTTTAGTTAAATTATTATTGTATTCTCCAAGTTTACGTTGGTTCTCTATGTTTTACTCATAATCTCAACTTTAATTCGTTTTAAACTATTGTATTTTGATAATTTCGATCCCTTCATTTTATTAAAAATGGTTACTTTTTAAGCGTACATAGATCAAAACGTGCATTTTTAAAAATACATATACCAAAATGATCTAAATTTGGAAGTATACATTATAATGCATAACAACTAAAATAAACATAAACTTAAATTACAATCACCAAGATTAAATATAATTTAGTTCAGATTGACATTTTAATTAATTTATTGTTGACATAATCACCACGCAAATTATACATCTAATAAATAAAAGTACGATTATTTAAAAAATTTATTAAATTTAGTGTGTGGTGTCAAAATTATAATGAAAAGACGAAATGGAACAGAAGGATCGAAACGATTGGTATTTTAAAGTAATGTGTATATATATATATAAATTGACAAAAGCCATGCGTCGGAATATAATTTAAATTTTAAACTAAAAAATATAATAAATAACATAAAACAACATTTTTTAAAAAATAATATAATGTGCTGGTTGTTGGCTGTTGCCTCTTGGGTGGCTTCGTCCTCCTCCACCAGCACGGCACCACGTGCTTTTCATCCGACGTCACGTGAAGCTTTCATTATTTTAAAGGTCTAAATTACAACTTTAGTCCTATAGTTTCGTCTATTTAGTCGTCTAAAATAATTTTACGTAAATTACAAGCTTGGTCCTTTAAATTTAAAGATGATGTGTTTTTAATTCTCGTACTTTATAATTTTTAAATATTATCTGAAGAATTAATTTTTACTTAGATGGAGTGTTTTGGTGACGTAACCTAAATATATGTACTTAAAAATTGGATAACTTATTATACTTTTATTTTTTATTATAGAGACTAAACTGATACAATTTTGAGAGTTCGATATACATGTCCTTTAAAAGTTTAATAAAATAATAAACATATTATTTTATCGTCCACACTTTTCGAACACGAGTTTCAAAAGAATGGAGTTAGCTATGTGATGTATCACATATATAATCTTACTTTTATTTTCTATTATTACTTTATATAAAATTTACCAATCAACAAAATGCCTCTTACAATGAACATAAGGTATTTTTTTCTAATTTTTGGTAAAATTTTATGTAATCAACAAATTGGTAACGTATAGTAGGTTTTTGTTTTGTTTTTTTAATTTAACAATACGTGGTGTGAGAATTTAAATACGACTTTTTTTTATGATAATATTTGTCTTAATCAATTTAGCTATATTCTTTTTTAAAAAAACCAGTTTATTACTCGTAACATATATTAGAAATAAGATAAAGTAAAAGATACACTATTTTTTATCCATATAAACGAATTCATCAGAGCAGGTTGAAGTATAAACTTTTTTCCGTAGTTCACTGTTCATGATTTTTCTCTTATTTATATTTGTAAAAAAAAATAGAAGTCATCAACAAATATTATCTTTGTATTATTATTATTATTATTATTTTGTCAATCTAAATATAGTTAAGTAGATTAAACACAAAGTAACACAAATTACTCTGTTTTGTAAAAAAAAAAACACACAAATTACTTTGTTGAGCTTGAAAATTAAATCTTCATCCGTGTGGTACTCAAAAAAATTTCAATATCTTCACACTTTACAATTATTTTTAGAATTGAATTTTAACTTTACAATTCCCTCCAAATATTTTTTAGACTACACTATTATTTTATTTTTAAAAAAATCACTTGAACACTGAAAAATTATTTAGTATTCCTAGAATAGTGTGGCTCATAGTTTTATACTATTGAAAATTAATTAAAAAACCAAAAAGTCTCTTCTGACTATGCATCCACTCCATAATTATGACAGTGGCAGGTCACTCCATCCAACATTTTATTTTTTATGGACACCGAATCTTTCCATCTTTTTTTATTTATGAGATAGGGACTAATTATAAATATAATATATCAAACCTACAATTATTACTGAACTATACCATACCTACCGCTAGTCTTCGGTCGGAGAGGTTTATTGTACAAAAACGCCGGGATGCAGGCCCCCTAAGAGGGAAGCCCAACGAATGTCAAATGCAAAGCCCCGATTGGGGGAACTATACGAACTTACAATCTGATTTTATTAGTAGCCATGATTGGGGGAACTATACGAACTTACAATCTTTTGATTGAAAATATAGTATGATTGTTGAAATTTGAGTTTCGCGTTAATAATAATTTAGCCCTTGAAATTTGAAATACAATTCAAAATAGTTACGGGAGTCATTTAAGACTGCTTATTGACGGATAGAAAAATGATCACATTTTTAAATGAGGTGTAAATTTTTAGTATAATATACTTTAGATGACATGACTTTATCATTTTTTTCGTCTCTCTACTTTTTTATTTCCTATATATTTCTCCTATCTCTATCTATTCTTCGCCTTCTCTAACAACATATTGTTTCACGTCATTCTCCGACCATGGCCAATTCATCGTTTTAGTACTCATTTTCGACGTTCGTTTGCAACTTTGGAGAAGAATAAAAAGGGGAGAGAGCATGGCTCACGTGAAATTAAAAATATATATTATTAAAATTAATATTCTTGCTAAGTGAGCAATGAAAGTCTAGTTCCTACCAATGACCAACTAAACATCAAGCTTAGAATAGAGAACAAAAATGTATTTTACCCAATAAAGAAAAAGTCATGTTATATATAAAAAAATGTCATGTAATCTAACCCAAAAAAAGACACAAATCAATAAAAGAAATCATCACCTTATATAGAAGTTGACACCTCGATGTGCCACGTCATTTTTTTAAGTCAAGTAAGAGTGAAATGACTTCATGAACAATTTAAAATCATGCTATTAAATTTATGTCGACATGTCAACATTTTCATATGTTTATGAGTTCAATATCAACATAAGGTGAATCAATACTTCCATAATGTATCACAAAAAAAGAAAAATACTTCGCTCTTGAAGATTCATGATCACTTTCCTCCTAAATACCTATACGTGGTCCAATAATAGGTAGACAAATGTTGTTTTTTCTCACTTTTATTAATTAAATTTTAATATCTCCCATTTTGTCTCTTCCTCTCTTCTACCCCGTGTTGCATCACATATCCTTCATTTTTCTATGTTTTCATTTTATCTTTTAACTATATATTTCAATTCTAAATTTTCGCTAAAAAAATTCAAATTTACTATATATTCTGTTATCACATATGTTGTATCTTTTTTTACTACATCTCTTCAATACTATTTCAAGGGCACCCACATGGGTTCGGACCCTCCTTAAGACCAGATGTCCGACCTGAAAGGTCCGAGGTCGAACGCGGGCGTTGTAATGTCTGGCCATTCTGCCCCGATATTCCGCCAGGCGTAGCTGGGCCATTGCTCTTCTTTCTTCCAACAAGTCGAGGTTTAGGAGCAGCTCTTCCTCATTTGCCGTAGGCTCGTAATGCTCTACTCCGTCAGATGGCATGCCAATCTCAACCGGGACTACAGCTTCGGAGCCGAAGGCCAGGGAGAACGGGGTCTCACCCGTCGATCCTCTTTGGGTGGTCCGGTACGACCATAGAACCTCTGGTAGCTCCTCAGCCCACCTGCCTTTCTTGGAGTCCAGTCTAAGTTTGATGCCTCGCTTGATGATCTTGTTCACTGCTTCCACCTGCCCATTTGCTTGCGGATGTGCGGGGGACGAGCTAAGGTGACTTATGTCAAGCTTGCTGCAAAAGTCTTTGAACTTGGCGTTGTCAAACTGCTTCCCATTGTCTGTCACAATGGCCTGCGGTATACCAAAGCGACATATGATATTTGTCCATACGAAGGACGTGACTCTGGATTCC